GCTGGCCCGACAGGCAGTACTCTCAACCTCGCCCCCGCGCTACCTGATCCTGGAGAGATCGACATCCAGGCGGGTAGCCTTGGCTGGTTGGACTTCAAACTGTCCTCTGTCGGATCACACGACGCCGACAACAACTCGGCCTCTGGCTCACCTCCCGGTGCCCAGGAAAGCTTTGGCTCTCGCAGTCCGACGTGTCGTTCACTGGTGATGGCGCTTGACAGCATGGACCTTCTGTTCAGAGCACCTTGCATCCCCCTGATAGCAGGCTTGTCGGGGGCTCAGGTCAAGCTGCTACCAGGGCTCGAATTGCTGCGACGGCTTGTCAATAACTTCTTCCTCAAGTGGCAAAAGGTCCAGCCAATCTTCCACGTCGCCACATGGAAGTTTGCCAAGTGCCCATTGGCGCTGCTAGGAGCAATGGCTTGCATCGGCGCTCTTCTGGACGAGGACGATGAAACGGTCCACCAAGCGCACATTATAAGCTCACGATGTGTTGCTGTTCTCAACGTCATGGTGAGTGCAGGCCGCTCGACTAGTCCTCTAGGAGATGACATTGCTGACTCTGCTTAGGCCCTCATTCCTCCTGACAGAGGTCCAGATGTCAGGTTCCTTGCTGCCGTGTGTCTTCACCAAACGTACTTGCTTGGATCTGGTGACGATAACATTTACCACCATGTTGATCGTGTCCGCGCATTCCTGATTGGCAGCCTGCGACGCCTGGAGTTGCTGGGCTCCGGGAGTGGTGACGAGAGCAGGTCTGATGTGGGGTTTGAAACTGTCAGTCAGCCAGTGCAGGCTGAATGGACCACATGGATCACATATGAGCAGGCAGTCCGAACGACGTGGGCCGTGTTCGAATACGACTGCAGCGTCTCCCTGCTCACCAATCGCCCTGGTGTCATTGAGCTGGGGGATCTGCCTTTGAGGTTCCCATGTGCCGACGAGTTGTATGAAGCGCCCGATGCCCAATCTTGGGGTGAGCTCCGATCACGACTACCCAATCGTGCTCAGGGGCCGTTGGTGTCCGATGTCGTGGCTGCGGCGACAGGAAGTGCGTCGCCGTTGTCCAGGGATGTCTCTCCTTGGACCAGGCGTTTGTGTACCCTGATCTTTGAGAGGATTCTCAGAGGATTCGGGAAGCGAGATCAGCGAGACAGTATTGTCGCAGCCTGTCGACACGTTGGCCTCGACTTCGCCTCTGTTTGCATGCAAAACACGGCAACGGTGATTTGGGCCATCAGCTTCCTGGCCAAGTCGATCCCTGGTGATGAAGCCACAGCGCCGCTTTCAACGTCGGACCTCGTCAACTTCTGGTAAGTCCCCCGGCTGCCCTCAAACGTGCAATCTCGTAGAGCGATTTGCTGACATGCTCCGCAGCTCAACGCAGATGATACGCCATTACTCTCAGTTGTCTCTGTATACTGATGTCATGGATTTGATAACATATATCGCCCGCGAAGCCGCTTCGCGCTCGTCGCCCAACTCTCGCACATCCTTGCGATGGGCACAGCAAAAGCTCATTGACCAGTTCGCAATGGATGCGCCCAAATCTCGGCAGTATATCTGGCACGCGGGCCAGATGGTCAGGATAGCAAGGGTTCATGCTGCCATGGCGCCATGTGACAATGTGCGCATTTTCTCAGCATATCTCGCCATAATTGCGTTTGCGAAATATGGACCCTCATCGCTGAGAGATGTGGATTTAGTCGAGCCATTCCAGGCAGACGCGTGGCCTGTCTGTGAGACAGATGTCGAAAGGTGGCTTCAAATTGGTGGCCCTGCGCGGATCGGGTCTTGCCATCGCATCCAAGTCGGATGCTCAACCGACCTCATCATGCAAGATGCCTTCCAAGTGCTCAACCGCCTTGAGAATTGGGGCGTCGCTGAGAGATTCATCAGCATCTTATCCCACTTCAATAGACTCGACGTGCTTGGTGGATAGAAGGGCGAGGGCGCGATGAGTTGGGATACCGGCAATCTCGGTTGGAGGGATGCGTAGGCATAACATATGCTGCGTAAGAAGTTTGCTGGGGTAAGTATTTCATTAGCATTGATTTCTTTGGCTGGACGATATTGTATGTGCTTCGTACGTCTGGCATGCTGAGCGGCAAGGACTTGGGATCTTGAAAGGAGAGGGTAAATGGAAGCATTGACCGTGTTGAAGGCTCGAGGGAGGGTTCCTATTAGACAAAACAAATTGTAATTTTTCTTACTAGAGGCTCTCTTTTGCAAGATTGCGACATTCTGATTCCCAATGCCAACTGAAGAGTGACCCGTTCTAAGTGAAGTGACTCTTTCTCGAGCAACTGGTTGTGAGGAGGGCAGCAGTAATATTTGTGCTCAAAATGCTCCTTTCGATATGAGAGGCTCTCCATCATCGTTTGTTTGGGGCCAATTTTCAGCCTTGTCATCAGTTCACGTGTCGAGGGACGGCTGGCAAGGCTGAGGAATGGCTGGTAGCTCCCCATCAATGTCTCTCAGCACTGGTAGAGACTGCCCAGGACCGGCTGTCTTGAAAGGTCAGCCATGAACATTTGCATATGACAGAGACACCGCCAAGGCTCAAGACTCACAACGCTGATTGACTCCCCAGTCTTTGGCCTTGTTCTAAACGGACAAAATTCGTAATTGCGGCGTTCTTAGAGCTAGGATTGCATTCGTAGGATTGGAATTTGAGGGCGTCACGTTGATTCTTCCCTTGGCGGTGGAGGATCGTGGCTCGGCATGACGCACCACGACGACGGCAGCACTTTGCCATCTGAATTGCATCTTTTGGAATTGGTTCAGGCAGTGAAGAGAGGCGATAAAGAGAGGCTCAGGTCTTGAAATGAGGAGAGATTCTGAGGGGAGCACAAAGCGAAGACACAGCAGGAGCATCCTGTTTGTGCGTCAGGTGACTACACGTGATACCAGGGAAGGAAGTTTCGGGGACATGTCGTTGTACGCTCATGGAAAGAGCCCGGTTAATGATACCCAAGGTGGATACGAGTCGATTATCTTCGGTGGCGATTGAGCACTGGCGGGAAGGAGCATTTCCGGGCACGCTGGTCGTGAGACCGTGTGAATGACGCTGTCTGCTTTCGATGAAGCATGTCAGCCGTGGTGTTTGGGAGAATGGAAGCACTGATCATTGAAAACTACCTACCTACCTCTACGGCTACGAGACCAAAGAGGTTCCTTCCTATTTAATGAGCCGGCCGAAAAGGTGGGGGGCAGAATTTCCAGCTGGACGTTGGTCAGATATTGTACGAGTGATACAGTATTCTTCGTTAACAGAGCCACAGCTCAGCTTATTTCGAGTCAGCCTCAAGCAAGCATAGAAGTGCGAAAGACAAAGAACCCGCCAGCTACTAGGTAATTCCACAAAGCACCAGATTTTGCACGCAAAGACGCCATGTCTGTTTTCGTCGACGGCAGCGCGAATTGATTGGCTGAGAAAGCCCGGGTGTGAGAGTGGGCCGCAAGGGGCACCTGCGCCCTGATTGGCCCCGGAATACCCTTAGCGTATACTAGCACGACGTACACCAAAACACTCCAAAAAAAAAAAAAACTTGTGAGCTAAAGTGCAAAGTCGTCAAACTTTGCAAAAAGATGGACGCTCACTGTCTCAATCATTTGATATAGGAAAAGCCCGATGCGGGGGTCGAACCCGCAACCTTGAGATTATTCAGATCGTGTTCCTCATAAGAGTCTCACGCTCTACCGATTGAGCTAACCGGGCACTCGAGACGCCCGTTGTCTGTTGAAAGACGTTGGGTGTATTTGGCCTTATATCGAGCTGGTGATGCCATCAACAGGGTTCGGCTCTTACGGTTCGACCTGCCCTACCCTACGATCAATTACAATCTTTTTTAGTTTTCTCGATCTTGCTCTTTACTTCATTTCCTTTGCTGAGGCTTATTGACTTTTACCTTTTTGAATCCTGGATCTGTGGTGTCGAAACTCGGAGTCGGAGGCGGGCACGCTGTTCTGCCCCCAGGGCATCCCACAAATGACTGATCTTTTTGTGCTTCTTCTACTACATTATGAACTTCAAATCTCACTACCACTAGGTAGACAACATCAGTACGGCGACAATCGGCGCCTTACAAAGCTATTCAAAAAATCCATCTTTACCTCAGGTGGTTGTCTACACCTCAAACCGACATTTTTTTGATCAAACAGCAATCTCTGATCGTAGCATTGGATGCCTTCTCAAGAAGTACCCTACATATGGGATTCCCTTGGAATCAAATAGGAACAAGGAGAGCACATTTCGCCAAGGTACATGTAGAATTAACCATGCACGATCTGTTTGGTGAGCTGGAAAACGAATGGTGAGGCAAGCTTCCTGGGTAGGCAGTACTACCTAGGTAGGTAGGTATGTAGTCTGTCTTCTGGACGTTGCCTCTCAAAGGTCTTGTAGGTACATTGGCACTCTACTCTGCTGGTTGCTCTGCCTGAAACGCCCTCTTTACGGACATGTCATGATCATCGCATGTTACTCGCCTTTGCTTTTTAAGATCTGGTTGTGCGAGATCCGCACGATGAGAGACTATTTAGTAACATGCAGTCGCACATGCAGTCGCCTTTGTTCACCCCTGAAACTGGACGTTGGAACAGCTGCACATGACTCACGGCTAAATGGTACCCTGCCTCCCAGTCAGCGAGCAGCAACGGAATCCTCACGATTGGTTCTTTCGAGTTCGTGCGCCGCTAGATGTTGGTTGGTAATGCGCCGCATCGTCAACGACCAGGTTCTGCATCCTCCAGTCCCTTCAGAGGACTAGCGGCAGGATATAGAGCTGCACCTAAGACCCGGATGGGACGATACGGGGGATCGGAAATGAGAACGTGACTCCATCGCCACACGAGGCTAGCAAAGGACCCTCGGCTGCGGAAGGATGTTGCTGTGAGTATGTATATAGGCGTCGATGTTGCCGGCCAAAGCTGGCCATTTGTCTTTGCTTTCATCCCATCCGCTCGCTGCCTTGTTTCCGACCAAGTCATTCCTTCAGAGCTTTTTGCTCCAGCCAAGCCATTCGTTCATATTCTGTCCCCAAGTTTATCACGAAATAAAGAAAAAAAAAATAATTAAATAAAAAGACACACTCGCCGTCAAGACCAAGATGCGCCAGTCCATCGGTACTTCGCTGCTTTACCTCATCGGGGGAGCAAACCTCGTCCTTGCCGCGTGCGAGAACTACAGCTTCACGACATGCGATGATGGCATTGTCCACTGGTACGATCTGAAGGACGGCCAGATCTGCGACCCCAAGGACTGCGGAGGCGGCCGGGCTCCTCCCAGAACCGACGTGCCGGGCTGCCCCCTGTATTCGGGCACGATCCTCAGCGAGCCGATCTCGTACCTCTCGTGCTTCACTCCGTCGAATGCCGTGCCAGTGACGACTTCGACTCCTGCTGGCAGTGCTGGAACAACTGCCGATGTTGTAATCACAAGCGCCATCTCGACCTCTGACGCTGGAAGAACGACCCAGGAGCCGGCGAGCGAGACCAGCACTGTCGATTCGTCTGTCGCTTCCGGTAAGCCGTCGACCTTGATCACGACTGCTGCCTCTTCGCCTGCTTCCGCTTCGACCAAGACTCCCATTACGAGCCCGGCAACTCTCTCCACTAAGAGCCAAGCTACCCACGCAGCTTCAAACACAACGAGCGGCAGTGCTTCAACGACGTCGACTACGAACGCTGGAAATGCGGTGGGTGGCTCATTGTTGGCCGTGGCTGGAGTTGCCCTTGGAGCTTTTGCTCTGCTGTAGAGGCAAGGGGGTTTGGGCTGTAGAGAGGTCATAGCTGTCGTAACGCAGAAGGCAATCAAATTCTGTTGAGCATGTGCTTCTCGTATTCGTGTGATGATGAAAGTTTGCTCACGCAGAGGCGAGGAACAATAACGTACTACTGAAGCAGCGACAGTACCTATGCAAGTATCAAGCAGGATGAGAAGTCATGTTGGGCTAAGGGATGGGAAAAATCTGCTATAACCAGCAGAGATTGAACATCTACAAGAGAATTTTCGACATCAAGATCAACAGCTTTTAGTACTGGGTATTTCTTCTTCACAACCAGGGCAAGCCCCAGTCTGCAATGAAAAAAAGAGGGAAAAGGACACGCCTGTCAGACGTCCATCAACACCCACCCTGCCCGCGTGCTACGAAGGCAAACAACAGACAGGGTCGAGATCATCAAGAGACAACTCTCTATACAGCAGCTGCGCAAGGCAACCGCCGCCATCCTTGCGGACAGAGCGAGAGGACCAGGAAGTATTCACTCTTGGGTGCTGAGGATATGCAATCATCAACCAGGGTGGATTCGATGGCTCTTTTGGGAACCAAAGCGAGAGACGAATACTATAGAAATGATTCTCCTGTAGAAACAAGATGGTTAGCAGCTGCTGAGAAGCCAGAAAGGCCAAGCTTAGGGGTGCACATACTGAAGTATTGTCGACGTGAAGAAGAAAAGAAGAAAAAAAAGCCAAAAAGGAACGGCGAGCTGGACGGAAATTTATAGCAGGTCTGCAGAGCTGCGTGGGCGGTGAGCCAAAACTTTTGTTGACCGCCTACTTTTTGAGCGGCAGAAAAGAAAAAAATAGAGTGGTCCCCACCCAGCAAGACGGCATGTCGAAAAATGTGATGAAAATCCTTGCGAGTCTTTGGTCTGGCAGCGGGGCGGCAGATCAGTCAGTTATTTCGAACCTTTCATGTAATAATTGAGAAATTCACTGTTCTGTGGATTCAGGCCGACTCTTGGAGGCTGGATGTGCTGCCCTCTTCTAATGGTTGTGGCGAATTGGATGCTGTATTATCACGTCTCTGCCAGCGGAATGGCAACTAGAGCGCCGTACAAGCTGTGACTGAAGAAGCGCAGGCTTCATACAAATTGACGTGGAAGACCTGTTGAAGCTCATTGACGGAGTGGAAGACCTTCCTTCATCCTCTACATGCGTTCAATTTCGTCTTTTTCTTTTCTTCTTCAAGTTACCCCCGCACCGCAACTGTCAAAAGTGGTCTTTTCATTTGGAAGTCTTCACCACCAGCCGCTGGTGCCAAAGGCCGTCACAGCGCTGCGAGATTGTCCTATAAACCGACCATACCTGCAGTCAATGAACAGGAAATTGCTGAATTGCTGTTGCCGAAAGCTCACAACATAACGCAAAGAATAGAACCAGAAATAAAAATAAAGATCAAAACTAAAGCATGATCTAATCCAACCAACCCTTTGGGCGTGGCAAGATCAAGCTTATTCCGGTAGGTCAGCAAGTTGCCATCCCCACTCCGCCTCCGAATGCCCTTTGCGGCAACATCTCGAGTCTCGGATAGAGTAACCGGACGGCCGTATGTATGTATGTATGTATGTATCTCAGGGATGCAGACAAATGCGTCGGTCGGTAACTGCACTGGTGTCTGCTATAGGCCGGCGGGCTGCGGTTCATGTACACCGCATCTTATGCATTTCTTACATGCTTCTAGCCTTCCTTTTTCGACTCGACTTCTCGAATATCCGACATGCATGTCTTCTTGATCTAAGTTGAAATAAGGAGGTGGTCGTGGTTGTTCAAGCACGGCCTGGCGAGAAGCTATTTCCATACGAGGTCAATGTAACGGGCATCAGGCGATGGGCCGAAGCCGACTAATCTTATCAATTGCAGTGTAAGAGTAGGCATCTCGGTCAATGGCCTTGAGAGAACTGCAAGTATATAAAGATCGTGAGATAACCACCAGAACCACGTGTCAAGAAGCAAACTTCTCCATCAACACCTTACAAGCCTCTTCACAGCCCCCCTTTACCGCAATCATGCATTTCTCCAGCGTCCTCGCCCTGGCGGTTGCCACCATGGTCGCCTCCCAGGATGTCGTGAGTGTCTTTCCTATGCTCAACAGACCAAGTTCATGTGTTTGACACACAATCACCACATCTAAGGCCACTCTCTTCTCGGGCACCAACTTCGAGGGCGCCTCCTACACCATCAGCGGCCCTGACGATGTCATCGGCAGATGCACACCCGTTGCCGACTTGTAAGGCCTTTGCTATGATAGCCTGCCCTTCTCTCCCGACTCTTCTTACGATGTTGCTACTAACGAGAGTCACTGCCGTCTAGCCCTGTTGTGCAATCCATCAAGGTGGCTCCCGGCCACGCCTGTGTTCTTTACAAGTAAGCTCATCAATTTAGGTGATGGTAGTCTTGATAAGAATCCATTACAACTGCTGACACTGGTCTCCTTTCAGCACCCCTGACTGCGCTGTTCCCTACGCCGCCTACAACCGCGACACCGCTGCCACCATTGTCAACGGCGCCTTTGCCGCTTTCGAGTGCGCTGTCGCCATCAACTAATCCATGTGTCGGCGTTGAGCTGAGTGCACTTTATATGTCTTGTAAATAGGAGCTCATGTTCAATGTGTGGGAAACACTTGACTGTAAATAGAACGAGACATGCGCTCAACAAGTCCATCGAGCTGTGCACATCAAGTTGCTGCCTTTCATCGTCCTCTCCATTGTGTCCTCGAACAAGTACTGCCTCAAGACATATAGTGGTAGAAGCGACATACAAACATCGACGTTATTTTCAATCGAATCAATGCCTATATATGTCTTATCAGCCAAGATGCCAACCAACACGCCCTTTGCGATGTCGAATATGCGGCGCTTACACTTAAACTTCTGCTTTGAGATTAAGTTGAGATTTAGCAGCGGATCCCGCCTGTGCCAATTCCAGCACGTTTAGGCTTCCTGCTGGAGATGCTAAAAGCGACCCACGATCTACGGCGGCACATGACCGTTGGACAGTAGTAGTATCATCACACATGTAGGTAGACGAAAGACGACATGAACGAAGCTTTCATCGGGTCAGTCCACTTATTTTGTCTCGATGCTAAGGGCTTATCAGTCGGTATTGTATTTAAGAGGCATACATATCGTTTGCTTTAAGTAAGTAGGTATTTATACAAGGTCACCCCTCCGATGCCCGCCCTTAGACAATTGCCCAATACCTACCTACCATTCAGTAGAAAGGAATCGAAAACCACCAGAAATGTCCCGAGTCCTACGCATAGCCATCCTAGAATGCGAAAAGCCCCTCCCCAAAGCCCAAGCCGCCCGCGGCTCATTCGGCGACATCTTCCACAACTTCTTCGCCCAGGGCCTCCAGGGCCTCGGACCCGAAGCGGCGGCGGCAGATGTGCGCCTTGACGTGAGCAAGTGGGACACCATGGCAGGCGATTACCCTCAGATAGAGGATGTCGACGTGTTTGCTCTCACGGGAAGCTGTACGTCTCCTTTTCCGTTGCCATTGACTCTTCTTTGAGGCACGTAACTCAACCCACTTAATTCCCCATGTTGATAAAACAATCCTCAGACGGCACAGCCTTCTACAACGACCCATGGATCGTGACCCTAGTCGACTTCGTCAAGCACACTCTCGAATCGACAGACACGAAAGTATTCGGCATCTGCTTCGGCCACCAAGTCATTGGCCGCGCCCTCGGAGCCGACGTCAACCGCAACCCGCACGGCTGGGAAATCTCCGTCGAGAATCTTGTTCTGAACGAGCAGGGCCAGGAGTTACTCGGTGTTCCATCACTGGTAAGCTCCCGATTAGCACTCATATTCTCAATGTCATAGCAACGACATGTTCATGACCATGTCATTAGAACTTGCATCAGATGCATCGCGATGCCGTACTGGGCGTGCCTCCCGGCATCACCAACCTCGGCTCCAGCATAAAATGTTCCGTACAGATCCTCTACCAGCCGGGCCGGCTGCTCTCATTTCAGGGGCATCCGGAATTCGACGAGCTCATCAACGAGGAGATTATCCGGGCGGACAACGAGAACGGGCACGCATTTGACGACGAAACGTTTCGGGACGCTCTCGAGCGTGTTAGCCGTCCCCATGACGGGCCCCTCATGGCGAGTCGCGTCATGGAATTCTTTCTTGGTAGCGGGAAGTGGAAGGACGTGGTATGATAATGTCAATGGTTCCAAATAAGCTACGGTGAATCCCTGCGTTCAGGGGTTCTGAACTTTCCGGATTAGCACGACTGCCCAATCAAACCATTATGGACTCCAAGGTGATTTCTTGACATTCTAGTTGTTAAGTCCTCCAAGCATTTCCAGCTCATGGTTCTAATGAAATATCGAGCAATCAAGACTATAGGAAAAGAGTCGAAATGAAACAGCTACAATAGCCGAGTATGACAGCCAAGTAGGACAGCCAAGTCAAAGAGCCAAGTAAAAGAGCCAAGTAAAAGAGCCAAGTACAAGAGAGCCAATAGTCAACCATGACAGACAAAACAACAAAAGCTAAGCGCGCAGAAATCAGATAAACAATCGACTCATGCAGTCGGTACAGACGCATCCGCAGCACCTCGTCGCGCGGATAGACTTGTGGACCATCCAGGGGTTGCGCCTCTCAAAAGGCAGGCCCCAGACGTGCTGCAGCAGGAAAAGGGTCTCGAGCGCGTTGCCGACCTTGAAGCGGCCCGCGATGCTGAGGAGCCGCGACGTGATGATGCCCTTGACCTTTGCCGATTTGGCAAAGCACCCAACGATGAGCAATGGCCAGCACAGGACCTTGTTGATGCTGGAGAATTCCGAGATGCGGCTCAGTTGCAGGAGCGCGATCTTGTAAGCGATCTTCATAAAGTTGGTATACGATCCGGGGGGCTTCGAGACGTTTGGCCATTCCAAGAGACTCCAGAGATATAGTATGGCGGCGTTCTTGAAGAGAATGGCCGCCTCAGGGCTTTCGCAGTCGGGGTCCTTGTCAGGTACGAAGCGCGTGAGCCGCTCTTGAATCTGCCCAAAGGTAACAAAGTGGTTGGGTAAGTAGCCGGTGGATGGACCGCCCGCCGGGGCGTTCGATGCGTCATCGGCAAACGGCCGCATCTTCATGCCCAGCTCAAAGATGCTCTGTACGACAACCATGATCGACAGCCAGTTCCCGCAGAGCTTGCCTATATATTTCGCCTGGACTAGGTCGTCGACGGCGTCTCGGAGTGCCTCGCTCATAAATGGAATTGACTCCGCCTTGGTGACATCGGCTGCAACACATGCAAAGCAAGCAGCATGCATGTAATACTCCAGCAAGATAGGCGGGACCTGTTTACACATCTGCTTGTGGGGAAGGGTCAAGAGTGTCTTCAAGATACCCATGGCTGCGGTGGGATGGTTGTGAGCTTGACCACGTTTGTCAAGCCGCGCCCTCTGTGAGAAGATACGTATAAACCGATCAGTCCTTGGTTCCTGCAAGAAGAGCGTATGAGGGAAAAAGAAAGGGGGAGGGGGAGGGGGTGGGGGGCTAAGACCATGGGCACGCTAGGATGTTGGGAGACACACTGACCTCGGTGAGAGAAATGACCAGGCTTGCCAGAGTGAGCGGAAGCATATCCTGCTCGTTCCCCGCCAGGTAGCTGTCAATCATTGGCCCGAACTCGGCAATGGCAGCAGCGTAGAAGCCTTCAGCCCTTTCGCCGGTCGGCAACATGGCGGATGACACCTGGCGGTGATTGACCCTTTGGGCAATGATGAGCTGCAGGACGAGGGAGTTGGAATACGCCAGGTCAATGAGCTTGGGGTTGACGGGGTTCACATCAGGGACAGGCTTCGTCTGGCGGTCCTCTGGGCGCTTCGAGTAGTACTGGAGCATCTCGGCCGCAGTGTAATCGTCTTGCGGCAGCAGAGACAAAGGTAGAGCGGCGGATGGCGCATGCGTCAAGTGACATTCCTTCATGTACGCAATGAAATCGTTGAGACGAGAGGACAGAGGGGGAGGGCCCTGCCCGTCCCAAGTGCACTTGACCTGGTACACGGTGGAGGTGCGAGAAGTCGCGTCCAAGGTATAAGGGGTGTGGCTTCGCTTTCTGTCACGGCCTGTGCTGCTGGCATCGTCAGAGTCGATGTCGTAGCGGTAGTCATAATAGCAAGCATAGTCGTGATCTTGGTCGCCGTCAGGACCAGGCACGTCGCCGAGAGGGCCCTGAACGTAGCCGGGGATCTGTCGGAGACGAGTCTGCTGGGCCCGATTGAGCTGTCGTGTCAGATTCTCGAGAATGGCAGCCTCGTTGGGGTCAAGGTCAACTGAATCATCATCGTCTTCTTGATTCTGGCGCTCGAGGTGACTGGTCATATTGCAAAGCTCCATCTGTATCGCAATGTTAAACTGCGAGCCAATGTCAGGCTCCGCGTCAGACTCCGCATCAGACTCCAACTCCAACTCCGAGTCCGGCTCCAGCTCGGACTCAGACTCAGACTCAGACTCAGGTTCAGGCTCAGACTCCTCAGGCTCAGGCTTGCTGGCAGGCACGGCATCACTCTCAACCCCCTCCTGAGAGATGGAGCCCGTCCTTTGCCTCTTCCTACCATCGCCCGAGTCCAAGGCGAACTCGGCGCCGTTTTCGTCGAAGAGATTATTGACTGGTTGGATGCACTCAAGGTTGAACTTCTGGCAGGTAACACAAGTGGGCTTGCCCAGCTTGCATCTCCTTCCCAGGCGGCGACAAGTAATGCAGGAATCTGGGTCCCTAATGAGGCGTGGGATGAGAAGCCCACGAGGCCGTAGGGGCTCCCCCTGTTGGGTAGGTAGGAGGTCAGCTTGAGGGGCGTAACACGAGGCTGTCAGGAGGCATCACTTACTGCTGCTGACATGGCAGCGAGTCGATAAAAGGGTTTGTTGCCGAGATGCGTTGCAATGATGACGATTCAATCGTAAGTGAAGGACGTGAACAGGGATGATGGGGGGAGGTTGAGACTGGAGCCGGAGCTTCTGGAGCGATGGCCACGTCTTTATAGTACGTTAGCCGTCGCCATTGGAGTTGCATAAGGTATGTATGTCTGCATCCGCCGCACGAAGAGGAATATGCTGGCGAGAGGCGATAATGCTTGCTCAGAGGAAGTCTGAAGCAAGTACACACTTGGTTGGTGATGAGCATGACGGCCCATGAGGACCGGCGACTCGGGTGCTTCGTTCCAGAAATTGATGGTCTCAAGCTCTGGACGGACGGCAGAGCACCCATGCATGCAAGCGGCCCACGCAGGACGGCTGGCTAATGGCAGTCTTGGGAGGGGGGGCCAGCTGCAAAGATAGCCACCCTCGCCGTCCCCTTGCATCTGGATCATCTATTCTTTTGCTTCTTCCTCTTCCTCTATCCTTTCTTTTTTTCAGCGGTCCAAGACATGCTAGCAAGGATCATGTGTTGCAAATGACCTGATGTCTCTGCCACACTCGTCCACGCCGCGGGCGGCCCTTGTCGTTCCCTTGCCGCCCCCGGATTGACGGCATCACGGAGAGGGGGGAAAACCCGGTCCGTGGATTCGACGATCCAGCCCTTTGTTCGTCAATCGTGCAAGTTGGCGGAGTCATGGGGAGCATGGAGGCGAAGGATTGCTGACTCTTGCTGGCAAGCGCTTTTGGGCTGGTTTGGGAGTCTGATGCAGTGAGGACTGACAGGTGCTTGGTCCCTTGGTGTGCAAGTACCTATAGTTAGGTGCATAGGTAGGTAATGGTGGATGGTGCTGCTCAGAGGTCTCGGTGAGATACAATCAATGGCCTTGTGCCCGACCCCGGCTTCAGCTCGTGCAGGCCATGGTGCAGTACATACATACCCAAGTTGGCACAAGAGTCATAAGGCACATACCTCGTACGGCCTCATGGCGAGCAATGTGCAGTACCGTACGCGTACTGTCGCCAGAGATGAGTGGCAGCTCATTTGTCACTCTCGCCAATGCCGATGCTCGATGCACTCGCTCGCTCCATCGTCATCCTGGTGCCCTGCCGTGTGTGTGTGTGTGTGTGTGTGTGTGTGTGTGTGTGTATGTGTGTGTATGTCTCTGATATGAATCTCCATAATTTAGTCTCGGGTTCGTCGATCCGGTTGGCTGCGTGGTGGGTTTTGCGCTATCAGTATGTATCTCTACTACATTGAGTAGATAGGTACTAGTACTTGTCTCTATACTGTAAGTGGTAGGGGAGTGTGCATGCTGCTAGGTAGTACTCTCAAGTCCAGCCTGAACCCTCGTCGTTGTCATCGTCGTCGTCGTCGTCGTCGTCGTCGATTTCGGCTCGAGCTGCTTCGCTCAGCTTGTTCGATGCATCTGGCTTGTGATGTTAGGCAGAGTTGCTTGGAGCGAAATGGTCTGATTACGAGCGAGGCAGCGGAAAAGCGGTGTGTGTTGCTCGGCCTTCGCTCTGCAACGCGCTCCTTCCTGTGACTGCCATTTGCCCAGGTGTTGTTTCCTCGTTGGCTTGGTCCAGCGCAGCGCAGCGCAGCGATTGGGGGGCGTGTGATCGCACAAGTGGGGCTCCTGATAAGAGATCCATGATTGGACGAGCGCGCCTGCATCTTTGGACGCTCGATTGTGACCAATTGGGCACAGTGCAGGCCTTGACGAGCACTGTTGAAGGCATTCACAGGACAGCCCTCGGAGATGGTCTCAGCATTACAGGCACTACATGCCTTGACATGCCTTGCCTTGCATACCTCCTCTGGACTTGACTGGTTGCAGGTGTCATTGACGTGAGGCCATGCAATGCAGGATGCAGGATGCGCTGTACAGTGCAAGCAGACACGCTGGGGGCTGTTGGCGATTGATTGATGGCAGACGAGGCCTGGAGATTGCAGAAATCACAGCGATTGGCCGTGTCGCGGTTTGCCCATTACAGCCGGCAATGACGAGCCGCCTCCGGCTGGCCATTCATGGATCTTGTCACCAGATACAGTAGGTCATCATAATCAGTATTGTTACTGCATGTAATACGGCTCATTTACTCAAGTCACTCACTCACTCACTCACTCACTCACCCAGACACCAGACATCAGACATCAGACATCAAGACATCAAATCAACCCGGGTTCCGATCGAAACCTGGATCCAATGTTCCAGCTTGTTGCTTGCTGCTCAATCAGCCCGGATCCAAGCTCATCCGAGACATGTCCATCTCTTGGCTCCTCGTCATCCAAGCTGAAAGACATCTCAAATCTTTACCTGCACCTACCTACCTACCTATGAAAAAAAAACCAAAAATAAACCCCGAAAGATATCGGCACCGAAAATCATCGGGCGTCGTCGATCCTCAGCCCACAATCCTGACCCCTTGCCTTGAGTCGACTTTGCGTCTCCGCGAGCAAGCCAGTCTTGCCAATGTCCGACCTGCGACATGGCGTCAACGCCTCTTCTTTTTTTTTCTACTTCCTTGTTTAATTCGCTCATCATGTTGCAATGTTTGCTTCTGTTCCTTGTTTTGTCGTGTCTCTCCTGTTCCCCGTCCTGCATCGGGGCATCTTCCTTCCAGGACACTGCAGGCTGCGTCTCGTGTCTTATTAGCCCAGGCTTCACACACCATCTGTGCCGTGTTGCAATCAGGTTCGCAGCTTAATCGCCGATCATAGACTTCATCATACCTAACTCACATTAATCTTCTAGGAGCATATGGTAAATACTACCTAGTACCTTACCTGAGATATATGCGTACTTGTACTTGTCCATCACTTGTCTCATGTAAGGTAACAAACAGGCTGAGTTGCCGCCAAAGTCTAGTCACCAACCAGTTCGAACACCTCCAGAGATCTCTCCGGCTCACGATGCTCAGCCCCGTGGGCCAAGGTTCTAGGCTTTCGACCTAATGCAGCAGAGACCAGGAAGAGGGAGTCTAGTCTGCTTGGTACTGTAAGGGGGTGAGCAATGGCGCTGTTATATTGCTGCATGTATTACGACTGCAATCCTCTGCTTCGTATCACGCATGTTGCAGGGGCAATACTGGACTCGACCACAGGCGTAGAGTGCTTTGAGCCAAGCGATCCTGCCCTTTCCGTCAGATAACCTGCCTTGCCGTGCATCTCTGACCACGGATTTGTATCTACAACTGACTGACATGATGCGGTGGCTTGAAGGCCGAGATGCTTCTTGACTCAGCTGTCATGACCCCCTGCTTTCGAGTGCAGCAAAAGAAGAGCAATAATCACTCCAGCAAGCAATGCAGATACAAAGCAGCCCAGAGTAGTCCGGAAGCCCAATGTGCCGCCATTATATTAGGTCATCTGTATCAGTGGTGGATGAGCTTTCCGTGCATACACACAGACTTCCTAGGTACGTAGCCAGGATTCAAATCTTCAGAAACAAACTCCAGCCCCCCGGCACAGACATCAGCCCTCTCAATAACCTCAGACCGAACGATGAGCAAGACAACTGTCTTGGTGTGCTTTCTACCCGGTACCTGGCGGATGATGCTTTACACTTAGGTACTTATCATGACACGTCTCGACCGAGACATCTACGTGTCCAGCTGCCTAAACGTCTGTCTCGTGAATGTCTCTCTCCTCTTGCATTATCCCATCTCTACATGAGGTAGTACTCGTATGGACCTCTTCTTCTCATGCAAGCATCCTAGTAATACGAGTATACTCCGTGTGTCTCCCTTACCTGAGACCTTGCAGAGCCGCAGGTCATCCCGACTCACCCCTTTCCACTTACTACACACCAACCTCCCGTGTCTTCCTCCATTCACAAGCTGTATTCGCCGAAAGACTCACTATGCTTTTGACACACGTTCACCCACCCGGGAACGATATGTCTGCTTCCCCGGCGGGTAGCACGGCCCCCAGAGGAAAAAGGTCTCGGTCATATAGCAGCATCCCTACATACATTACGTGTCCTATAGACAGCCCCCATCGCATGTGATAGACAAGGGCCAGCCACAAGAACGCCACCAAAGTGATTCGGGAGGCATCATCATACACGTATGCCTCCCTTGCGTGTCTAATGAGCAGCATGGAAAGGACAAGGTTGAGACAAGACGCTCAACAAGTGACATCAACACTCCGATCATCGGCATCCCTCCAATGGCTGTCAACGGAGAGGGTCCCGGCAGTGTCTGGAAAGTTTGAAGACAGGGCACCAAGACCTCTAGGTCCCGACGTGTATGTGTCTGAGGGGCGGCTGAGCACCCGCTGGTTCATTGCGTGAGTGGCACATAGGTGTCAAGCTGTTCTCAAAAGTATAGGAGGAAACCTGGGAGGCGGATTAGTCTTGACTATCGTTGCGAGAGACAAGTGAGCTCTCTCTAACCATGGGAAGGCGGGGCGTCAATGCCTTTCCTCAGCTATGAGCCGTCCATGTGTGTAGAAGCATTCCCCTATCCTTTGACGCCTTGTTCTGAAAGATTCGTCCTCTATCTCTCTCACCTTTCCTCTCCCCCTTTCTTACTCTATCTCTCAAACCTTTCCTCTCACCTTTTCTCACTCTATCTCTATTACCATTCTCCGACTTTCCCGGCGATAGATTGAATAGTTGGATAATTATCGGATTCTCTCGTTTTGACTTGTCTGATTTCGGCCCTTCTGCGACGCCTTTCTACTTCTCTCGCCGCTCGTTCCTAGATCTGACCAAGCTTCTTTTTATGCTTTTCGCCGTCAGTACCTAGAACGCTGTCTGTATCTATGTCGACTCGGGCCACGTCGAAGCCATGGCGTCAACAATGAATTCCCCCTCTTTGGACATCCGTTTTCGGATTCCGTAGCCGGACCTCCGGTGATAGTTCATCGTCCTCGTCAGCTCTCGTCGTAAACTCAGGAATCTAGACTATAATATAAGCGAGCAAATGTAAATTCTTCTCCAATATGAGCGCGTTTCACAGGCAGCATGCCGTGAGATCTAGTAGTGCTGGTGTATAGATGTGATGCATGTGTTACTCAAGCATGATGGTGACAATGCAGAATGTGACGACCTTGTGTATCGATGCCGTGAATCCCGTAGAAACACAAAAAAGGGGCCATTCCTCTCGACATCTTCTCCTGGCAGCCCTAGCTGAAAGATGATGGAAAAGGCAGGAAAGCGCGTTGGCTCCGCGAAATGCGCGCTGCAATTGTCCCTCGAGCCAACACATGGCGATTGATATCTGCTGGCTTCCTCCTTGTCCTTCTCTCACAAATAGTTGGCCGTGCGGTAGCGACAACCAGCCCTCAAGTCCACGATGACACCTTCGTCCCCGACCATGTGCTTCGAGTCACCTCGGAAGAGATTGGCATTGGGGGCATCAGGAGGTATTCGACGCTCATCAACGGAACTCTGCCGGGTCCTGAGATTCACATCCCAGAGGACAAGGTAGTGTGGATCAGAGTGTACAATGACATGGAGGATGGTAACTTAACCATGGTGAGAATGATTGCATGCCACATACCAGGCCCAATCTTTGCGCAGCGCCCCCTTTAAGTGAGAACGAGACTGGCTGACGACGATTCCTTCTTCTTCGAGGTTCAAAGCACTGGCATGGCCTTGCCCAAGCAGCAGCCCCCTTTTCTGATGGCTCCCCCATGGCCAGCCAGTGGCCGATCCCGCCGCAGCACTACTTCGATTACGAGCTCAAGACGCCTCGGGGAACGGCCGGGACCTACTTCTACCACTCGCACGTCGGCTTCGCAACGGGCACGGCAAACGGGCCGCTGATTGTCGACGACTCGGGGCCGGAGCCGTATCCCGTCGATGGAGACCGCATCATCCACATCCACGAGCTGTTTAACCAGACGGACCATACAATCGCCGAGGGTCTGCGGGCGACGCCCTTTGTGTGGTCCGGCGAGACGGGAGGGTTCCTCGTCAACGGCAACACGATATCGGACTACCCCATCGTCGACCGCGCCTCCTCCAAGCTGTCTGTCATCGAGGTCGACCCTGGCAAGCTGTACCGGTTCCGTATCATTGGCGCCACGGCACTCTCGTACGCTGCCTTTGCCTTTCAAAACCACACGGACATGTCCATCATCGAAGCCGACGGCCACTACACCAAGCCGTACGAGACGACGTTGATGCAGGTCGGCTCCGGCCAGCGCTTCAGCGTGCTGTTCCGCGCAAAGTCGTGCGCAGAGCTCGAGGCGCTCCGCAAGCTCGACTTTTACCTGCAGCTGGAGACGCGTGACCGGCCCACGAGCGTCATCAGCTACGCCGTGCTGCGATACCGCAACACATGTGCCAACTTGAAGCATCGCCACCTCCACGACCTGCGGGTGTCGACGACGGCGCTGCCCAGGATCAGGCCCCTGGACTTGCCGCCCACCATCGAGGGCTTCCTCGACTACCAGCTGAAGCCGCTGTACCCCAACGACTTCCCGGCCGATTCCGAGGTCAGCCGCCGCATCTTTGTGAATTCCCAGCAGCGGATTGACGGATACTTTCTGTGGACGGACAACAGCGTCTCCTGGACCGACGACCACTTCCAGAGGTCACCCTTCATCAGCCCGGACGAGCCCTACCTGGTGTCCCTGTACAAGAACGCCAGCAAGTTCTTGCCGGACTTCCAGGCGTCCGTGTCCAACTACGGGCTTGACCCAGCCACCAAGACGTACCCTGCCAGACTGGGCGAGGTCATCGACATCATCTTCCAGCAGGTCGGCGCTCATTCGTACGACGGCTCGCCGGACGGAGGCCTCGAGACGCACCCTTGGCATGCCCACGGCGAGCACTTTTATGACATTGGTGGCGGGCCGGGCGTGTACAGCGAAAAGGTCGCCCGGCAGCTGCGCCGCGGCACCCAGCCGGTGCTCCGAGACACGACGATGCTGTTCCGGTACACGGCCCACGTCCAGCCGGACCAGCCGTGGGGATGGCGGGCGTGGCGGCTACGGGTGCGGACTCCGGGCGTCTGGATGATCCATTGCCACACGCTGCAGCACATGGTCATGGGCATGCAGACCGTCTGGGTGTTTGGCGACGCCGAGGACATTCTCGACGTCAAGTACCCGGACGTGACGGGGTATCTCGAGTATGGCGGGAACGTGAATGGGAACTCATCGCACTATGTCGAGGCGGTGCATTATTTCGAGCCGGGTGACTGATTTGAAATACCTAGGCAGCGAGGAGTACGGTTGAAGATGTGAACTTTCGCAGTAGAGGAAGAATGAGATTGACGGGGGGTCAAATGGGAGATGGATGAAGATGACGATAAAGGGGGGAAGGTGGGGGGAAGGGGGGGAGGCGAGGACTGTCATATACCCAAGGTCAAAGACTTGAGATGGAAGTGAGAGAATCTATGTAGTCAAATGGCGTGTATAAAATGGACGAGTTGCACCTGCGTGCTTGATAATGAGAAGAAAAGAAATTGAGGACCCAAACTCACAAGGTGCAATAGAATCTCGAAACAGTCACACTTCACCAGCATCCAAAGAAATGATTGCACACGCAGCACCGTGGACAGAGACAAGCTTGGGCTCAATATGTTTTAAAAGTCTTTTTCCGTCGTTAGCCTCAGGGCCAGCCATCTCCAGGCGAGGAGAGGGAAAAGGGGAGGGTCGCGTAAGGAGAACCGCTCCCCCCTAGTAAAGCAAACATCAAATCCGAGACTCCAGTCCACATATATGCCATTTTTGTTTCTTTTAACCATTGATTGATATCGTCCACTAAAAAAAGAGAAAGGAGGAAATTGGGGGGGTACTACTAGATCATTTTCCTTCTTCTCCGTTTAGTGAGCCAGAGCACGGCGGCGGTCACGCTCCTCAGCGATGGTGAGCTTGACACCCTTGCCCTTGGGCAGGGAGATCCAGGGCTTCTCCTGGCCAATGACGAAGACGTTGCTCTCACGGGTGGCAAAGGTGTTGTCAATGGCGTCCTTGATGTGGACAATGTTGAAGCCACCGTCGTGACGCTCACGGTGGGTGATGACACCAACACGGCCCATGTTACGACCACCAGTGACCATGGCGACGTTGCCAGTGTCGAACTTGATGAAGTCGGTGATCTTGCCGGTGGCGAGGTCAATCTTGACGGTGTCGTTGACCTTGATCAGGGGGTCAGGGTAGCGGATGCTGTCGAGGAAAAAGAAGAAAACGTCAGCAATCGAGCAGGGAGAAGGGGGTACATACAGCCGTCAAATGAAGCTTCCATCGTCGTCTCTTGCTCTTTTTTTATCTGCTCTCCTTCCCACCCACACAAGAAGGTAGGAAAAGAGAGCAATGGATAAAGAAGAAGAGCAGGAAAAGAGAGGAGGCGAATTATGGAAATTCTTTGTCCCTCTTTTCCCTTTGTCCCCGAATCGACCAAAGCTTGATCCAACGGCTGAATGATGTCTGACAGAACTCACGTTCTCGCATCGTGCGTGACCAAGAATGGGATTCCACCACGGCCGAGCTGAACGCGCTTGACCTTGCCCAGCTTGTACTCGGCCTCCTCGGCCTGGATTCGGTGGACGGTGAAGCGGCCCTTGGTGTCGTAGATGAGGCGGAAGTTCTCGCCAGTCTTCTCGATGGTGATGACGTCCATGAAGCCGGCGGGGTAGGTGATGTCGGTGCGGACCTTGGCGTCGACCTTGACCAGGCGCTGCATCATGATGGCCTTGGTCTCGCGGTAGTTGAGAGCATACTTGAGGCGGTTTCGGATGAAGACGATCAGGGGCATGCAGTCGCGGAGCTTGTGAGGACCGGGAGAAGGCTTGGGGGCGTAGAGGCCGGACAGCTTGTCCAACAGCCAGTGGGAGGGGGCGCTAAGGCGCTTCTGGTGCTTCTTGCTGTGAGAGGGAGACAAAGGTCAGCCTGGTTTTCCCCATGGAGTGTCATGAGTTTGTTGTTGTGCAATTGAGAGGCTATCCTCGACCATGTCTCGGTGGGAAGAAGAGGAAGAAGAGAGACGACGGGTTGGAGATGCAGAGCGCTTCGCCGACGCCAACATCATCAAGATCCCTCTCATTCTTCCTCCCTCGCCAGACGGTAGAGAATAGCACTGCTCAACGGGCGTTGCGTTCGTATGTTACTCACATTCCTCGGGCCATGGTGACGACTGGCTGTTTTCTCGACGGTGATGGAAACGACGAAGAGGTTGAGCGTGGAATAAGGCACAGAAATGTTAAATTGATGGCACACCTTTTTTTTTTCCCTCCTCGCTTCGATCGCGCCAATTGTGGGGGCTTTCTTGCCCTAAGGCTTACCGCTTGGCAAGACCCGCGAGAAGTGCTGGAGAAGTCACGTGAAAGGAACGAACTTGATGTATTGACCAGCCAATGCCGTGGTTCTTCCGGTTCCGCCTCTCAAACGAACTAACTCAATTCGACCGACCCCACGGAACACGCCCAAGCAAGCCAAGGCAAGTGGAAGTGGACGGTTGTGAGCAAGCTGCATGTATGTGCCTTTCAGTGTGCAATCTCTCTTTCAATAAGGTACCTGTACCTGTCAAGCTTGATGCTAGAGTCATAGCGATTTCTCTTCTTGAATTGCTCACTTCATTAATATTATTGATAAGCTACTCTGTCCTGTTATGTGCGGTATCAACCTGAGCAGGTACATGGCCATACCTACTTATATAAAGTACTCTTGACTGAGACGTAGGTACGTTATCCCTCATGCGCAAGCTCAAGTGGCGGTGCCTCAAGTGAGATATATACACACACAGAGGCACGCATTAAGCACGGGGATGATGGGAAGAAAAAGACAAGGAAAGTTAAAAGGACTCGAAGATGCAGCAAATAGCAATCCAATGAACGTATCGCGACCCTTCTAAACTACCTATACTACCTGTAGTATGTGCCTAATCCTGGTTCGATCTAATAGAAACCTGAGCAGTGACGCTCTGGTCTGGTGATGTGTCATGCCATTATTCATTCTCCAATTATGTGCGCTTTTGTTTTGTTATGTTTTCTGTTTTGTGTTGTTCTTGTTGCTTCTCTTCACATCATCTTGGTGATGGGTTGCCGTAATGTTGATCAAGTAATAGAAGGCGTGGCTTGACCATCGTCCAGCAGGAGCCTGGCAATGTCCATCTCTCCGCCAGAAGCTGATGGTGTAGGCTCGTCAGGCTCCCGGAGCGCTTGCTGCGGCTGCTCTGCCGGGCCAGATGACTGAAACAGCCACTTGGGCAGTTCTTCCTGCGTCGCGGCTCGGTTCGTAGAGCTGTTGGCCGTCAGTGTAAGTGGTGGCGCTGCGGCAGCGGTTCGGATTTTGAACGAGTGGCCAATGTTGGTGTTGACCGTTGGCTCGAGAATGTTCGTGGTGCTGACGTCTTTGGGCTGGAAGACACCCTTCTCGATGCGCTGGTAGATGTAGGGATACTTGTTGCGCACCCGGTCCCGCAGGTCCGTGGGCTGCCGGTTCCCAAGATGAAAGCGCTTGTCGCGCTGAATCTTGGACCACGACGGGCCGTATGCCTCGAGGCCTTGCAGGATCTCCTGGTCGTCCCGGGAGGAGAAGGCCGTCCGCTCCCTCCTGCGGGCCCTTTTGAACGGGCCCTTGATGCCGAGCCCTGCGAGGTCCGACACCTTCATCCGATGGGCACGGCTCTTCTTGGCGGGAGGCTCGTCCGTCCCACACGGAGTGCAGGCGGCAGAATCCTTGTCCGACAAGATCCCGCCTTCTGTTGTGGTGGCCGTCTCCGGCGTCTTCTGCGGCGACGTCAGCTGCCTGAACTGGTTCTGGAGCTGGCGGCGTCGGGCAAGAGACTGATGTTGATCAGCATCGGTCACACGCATCTCCTCGGGGCAGCAGGTGCGGAAGCGGTCCTTGAGATCACCGGCCGAGCGCGAGTTGAAGTGAAAATCGGGATCATCTAGGATACTAGTCCATTTGCCCACGCCGTGGCGATCGACACCCCTGAGCAGGTGATTTGTTTCCTCTTCCGTCCACTTTCGCCTGGGCTTGCTCGAGCGTTTCCTCGTGGCCCGCGGCTTGGCCACGGGCTGCCCAGGCTCCGGGGATAGACGAGGCCCCGGCGGGCTGTAGCTGAGTTCGTGAAGGAGCTTGCTCTGGCCAGCATCGGTGTCGTCAAAGGCACTAGATTCGATGGGAGGGAAGAGGGCGACGTTGGGCGGTGGCTCCAGCAGTCCGTTGATGATTGGTGGCATCAAGGGGGCCTGGTGCGCCTTCGGCTTCTTGCTGGGTTGCGGTAGCTGCATAAAGTCATCCTTTATATGGATGGCTGGTCGTTTGTTGCTGGGAGTAGCGCCGGAGCCGGAGGCAACGTTGGATGCAGCTGCAACTGCGGTTGTAGACGAGGAGGGGAAGGACAGTGCCGAGGAAGATGACGCGGCCGTGGTGAAGGACGAGGGCGCGGACGACGAAGCAGTTGGTGCAGATGCGGGTATAGCTGCGGATATGGATGTGGATGCTGATAAAGACGAAAAGGAAGATGAAGGAGCGTCGTCTTGAAAATCCGGCCCCTCGTTCAGAATGCTGGTAAAGGACGGGGCGGGCGGCGTGGGCATCGGCGGCATGGTGACCTCACTCAGCAGGAGCTTGAGCGGGTACAGTGCCGCGCTCCCGGCATATTTGCCTTCTCTGGAGTAGTCGGTCTCTCTCCTGAAGTCGCCAAAGGACGTCGTCTGGTCACCGATGAAGGGGGACGCCGGCGGAGCTCCGGATGCTCCGCCGCTGGGGCCGGGCAGAGCGGCATTCCGGCCAGCACTGCCAAAGAACCTGTCGGCTCGGAGGCCTTCGAGATGCAGCGGCGGTAGAGGCCCGTCTCGGTTCCCCGACAAGGGCAGCAACTGTAGCGTAGGTAGTGAAGGCAGTGAGGGCTGCAACGGCACTTCCGCGTTGGGGGCTTCCGTGTGGAGGACCTCCGGGTTGATGCCCTCCGAGGTGATGCCCTCTGTATGAAGGCCCTCCGTAGTAATGCTCTCTGTATTGAGGCCCTCCGTATTGACGACTTCCGTATTGGGGGTCTCCGGAGTTGTCGGCTCATTCAAGAGATGGATTAGACGCGGCTCGATGGTGGCCATGATGACTCGAGAATCATTAGCGGTGGCAGCGAGTCTGTTCTCAGCATTGGCGCAGCGGCAGCAACACGTCCATGGCCAGAAGAGGCAGGATCAGGAACAGGCAAAGAGGCGCACAAGCGCACGTGAGCGATGGTATTCCAGGTTGGAATAATGAGTGACAAGGCGGATGGAGAAATGGGAGGATGGGGAAGCACAAGAAGAATAAGAAGCAGGAAAAGAAGGAAGCGATGGGTTCAGAAACGAAAGAGATGCCAAGTTGATGCCAAAATTATTTTTCCAAAAAAAGAAAAAAGAGAAAGAGAGAGTGAAGGTGAGGTCGAGGGAGAGAGGGAACAGGCCTATGATATGCTGCTCTGCCGCACTTCCGCAGCGTGAGGCGTCGACATTTCCAGCCAGACCTCGGCCGTGTCTTATTTGCTAGGTCGTCCTGCTCGGTCCTGTTTGGTCCTGTTTGGTCCTGCTTGGTGTGAAGCGAGAGGGAGCGAGGCGCATGAATCCCGGCTGCCGTCCCACCAGCCTCTTTCGTGCCTCTTTTTTTGACTCTGGCTCTCTCTGTTTGTGTGTGTGTGCTTGCTGCAGGCTGCAGCGGCTGAAAGCCCCCCCTTTTTTTCGGAGGAGAGAAGAGGGGATTGACTGGAGGGGGGGAGGGAGGAGGAGCAGGAGGAGAGGTTGAGGAGGAGGAGGGGATTCTAGAATTTGAGTTTACACCGATAAAGGTAGTAGTAGTAGTAGGTCAGGCAGGCCACAGGCAGAAGGGAGGGACGGAAATGGCGAGAGCTGGCTGAGAAGCGGTGCAGTCGAGAGTACCCAAGGTACTAGGAGGTATGTGCGAATCAGCAGAGCGCCGAGAGGGACCTCAGTTGATGGTATCAGCCACGTGAACCGGTGCTCCAGCAGATATGTGACCTCACGTCTCTCTGGCAGCCGCAGTTGTATGAGGATAAACGAGGCATGGGAAGTTGGCAAGACGCGGCTTAATTAGTGGGCACGGGGGAACGAAGCCGAGACAGCGCTACGGGTACAAGCAGACAAGGGAGGATGACGGAGGAGAAGAAGGAAAGCAAAGAGACGGGGAAGTTGAAAAAGAAAGGGAAAAGAGGAAGGGAAAAGAGGGAAGATGACAGCTCGTGGAAAAAGCAACGTCGAGTGACTTTTGCTGCTGCCTCGTGTTCTTGTAAAGGGATTATTTCGTAGCAGTTGGGCGCCTTATTGCTGCGATCTAGGGTTGTAGGCAAGGTACCTACTATTCAAAAGCACAGAGGTACCTAGGTAGGTAGGTATGTGCATTGCGAGATAATCAGGTAGATACACACAGGCTGGTGGTTGAGTCGGGGTGATTCGGGGTAGTAGTAGAGGCAGCCCTGCAAAGGGAACATGGAAGAGAGAGGGAGAGAAGAGGGAAGCCCGAAAGGGAGAAGCTGGACGATGGCGGGGAGAGCCCGTTATTCGCGTAGGGCCTGCAACCTGGTACAGGTACCGGCGTGATTGGCGTCGCCAGGTGCGACTTCGTGCGAGCATCGCGTACGAGTACTTGTGCCCTCTTCAGTTACAAGTACCGCTGCCATGGAACCGTGGAAGTGTGAAGATGACCTGGCTCTTGCTCCCCCCCTCACGCCGACTCCGTACCGCCCAAGATGATGCACAGCTGAAGCCTCGACGCGAGTGGAAAGTCTGTTCTGAATTCCCCATGGCACTCTTGCTTCCAATGGCAGTGAGCATCATCATCAAGGTCGAACGGCGAGGCAGATAATACCGCAGACTTTCGACGCAGCGACAGCCAAACTGCCACCGTTTGCATGCGGGCTGCCTGTTAGTATCAAGTTGTGGACGCCTTGGTGTCAACCACAGTGGACTGGACGCCCGAAACGGCCCCGAATTGCGCCGACTCCCACTGGAGCTGAACCATTGATTCCATGTTGATTGATTGCCTTGGTATTATTATCTTTCTGAAGTGCTGTTTGGGTTGCCAGGGGCAAAAGTCGGCAACCTGGGGCGCCAGGACAACCGCTGGATTGGACTGGAATTGATCTGTGCTGGTCAGCTGAATGCTGTGCCCAACGCTGGCTGATCATGTCAGTATAACCTACCTACTACTACTGTACCTCTCCCGAGTCGTAATTGTCGTAATTGTCGTAATTGTCTCCCAGGTTCGGAGAGTACTGAGAGGTACCATGTCATGTCCAGCTGCAGGGATCCTACATGTACATACAGCACAGTAGGTACCTACTAGGTACTCAGTAATACGACCAATAATAGCATTGGTTGCGTCTCCTCCAGGCTCTTTCTTCCACATTATTCCGAACTGCCGCGAACCACGAAACCAGAAAAGCATCAGGTCAAATCTCGCCGTTCTCTCGCCTCACCAGTGGCAGCGAAGATACACCCAAGACGACTGAACCTAGTCAAAGAGCTCGTCACCAGGTACCTTAACTGTCTTATCTTCTCTCCCGTCTTGTCCAGCGCCATCACCGGCCACATCTTCGCCAAAAAAAGGTCACCTGGTCCAAAGGCTCGTCAGTGGCTCGATCAACAGTTGCCGTTTCCAGCGCGTCGACTTCACCCTCACACCACTCGCCGCTGCTTCCTCTCCTCATCCCCCTCTCTTATCGCCTTTGTTCTCCTACCCTCCAGCTTCTTCTACTTCTTCTTCTTCTTCTTCTTCTTCTCCTCTCCCGTCCCTCCCGGCGTGCAGGCACATGATGGCCGCCTCTCTACCGCCATTCCCCCGCCTCGTCTTTACGGTCCTCGAGCCCTTGTCGCTGTAAGCCCACAGACCCCGATCCGATCCCGTCCAATCCAGCGCAGTTGCTGTATGATGGCCGTCTACCTGCCCAATCACCGTGGCTGAGAAGGGCTCCCCGTCTCTTTTCCCTCATTTCCGTGCCTTTTCTCTTCCCCTTTCAGCTTCGTCTATTCTCCTGCAGGAAAAAAAAAATGGGGTTGTAGACAAGCTGGGAGGGTGGCAGCAAGCCCAATCCCGGCCTGCCCAAGCTCCATCCGTCTCCTACGAAGCAGACCACACGAGTCTGCAAGACGCTGCAAGACGCTGCAAGAGGTTCAAGCGAGACACACTCTGCAGACACCAGCATGCGTCTGCTGCCACTTTCCATGTCGCTCGACAAAAACACACTCGACATCTGCACGGCTGACCCGTGACCTTGAGCAAATCACAGTGTAGCGGGCTTCGCCGGCGCTGTCTACGACCCGGCATGGTTCGTCGCACAGCAGATCCCTCAGGACAAGCCCGTGGCTGCCTCGGAGAACAGCATTGTCATGGCCCATCAACTGGGGAACATGTACCTCGCAATGTGCTTTGTCGGCTTGGCCCTGTTCCGGACGACGTCCGAGGCCAGAGTCGTTCGAAGCTATCTCGTTGCCCTCTTGCTTGCTGATGCGGGCCACGTCGGCTTCACGTGGTATGGAATGGGAACAAACAGGTTCATGGACGTCTCCGGATGGAATGCCATGGCCTGGGGGAATCTGGGGGCTACGGTAAGCGTCTCTCTCTCCCCCCTCTTCCTTGCCTCGACCTGTTTTTTCTCGACTCCCACTCTCCCCTCCTGTCCTCTTTGACTCCATTCTATGGCCTACTCCATTCACACCTTTCCCCCCTTCACGAAGAGACGCCGTGACCAAGACAAGGCAGAAGGAAGTTAGCAGCAGATTCCTCTACTGCAGCTCGAGTGGCAGCACTACTGCATCTTGCTGGCATGACAGCTAATGGCGCGTCTGACGGGACAGTTGTTTCTTGCCTTTACCCGTATTGCATACCTCTCAGGCATGTTTGGCCCAGATAGGCACGGGCCAGCTGCCATTACGATGCAGCAGAAGAAGAAGAGCAAATGACCCGGCCACGGACGAATGGTGATCTTCTTGCATTGTCTCTTTTTCTCCTTGTCTGTTGACTCCCATCAACTTCACAAAGGATCATAACCTCCGCTACATGCCACCCACCAGCCCCGAGCATAGCATCAAGCGCCATATCTGCGGTACTGACAGAGCGCCCGTGCCCTTACTCTCCCCATGCCGGACGTGCGACTTGCTCAGTCGAACCCCAGCACGATTTGACGAGATCACTAGAAGTCTTTGCTGTATACACCTTCTTCAAGCAGAGATTGACGTGGCTGTTTTTCCACGTCGATTGCTCTCTCATCTAACAAAACCTCAATAAAAAAACATGTGTCCCATATCGCTAAAGGGAGCACCTTTGTAGTTTGTAGAAAGCATGAAGTGCGATAGGTGGCATCTTCTTCAAGAAGGAAGATTGGCATAGAGGCCGGATCCTTTGCGTCCCCTTTAGTGAATGCTGCCGTTGCCCGATCGCTGTTCAAGCAGGCAGTCAATCTACCTTGCCCGTGTTCGCCTGGTGGTAAGATGCTGGCATTACGAACCACCAGCCGCAGCAATATTTCAGCATCAATCCATGCTGTGTTTGTCTTGCCGCACTCCCTGGGGCACGCTGAGTCCTCGCTACGGGCTGAATCAATGCCCATGATGGAGAAGTTGCTACAAACCCTGACGTACCAATACACAGAGGCGGCCTTGACGGTCGCATGGTGCACAACAAAGAATATTTCCATGCTCTTCATGTCATTGCCGCAATTTCCCGCGATGATATTCAGGATTCAGCCAATCACTTCGTATGCTCTTTGTGGCCCCATGGCAGACTTTGACGCTGCCAACTCCATCCTCCTGTACGTACACAAGCCAGCAAGCCAGCGTTTGCCGCTGTTGATAAGCCAACGAAGAATTTATTGGGACCATCTAGCACATATTTGGCTCGAGACATGTAGAGAGAACACGTCCCGGCAGTATATCCATTTTTAGGAATATTTGTACAAAGCTCTGTGGGAGTCTACAGAGAAGGCTCCTCACTCAGTTCCCCCCCCCCCCCTATTGACTACTAAGGTGCTAAGGCATTACAGAGCGCCTGTTGCGCTTGTACCAGCCTCCTCTGACCGGAGGCAGAAGAGCCGAATCCGGCTTAGCTCATCCTCGTCACGTTGCAGTCAAAACATCAACTCCCAACCTTGTTCAAAGGGTTAGGGTTAGATTTTGGCTCAGCTCTACAACAAAGCAAACAGGCCGCAGCTTTCGGGCTTCACAAACGAACAACAAAGGTTGCAATCCACCAGAGGCACCAAATCAGCACCGCAACAAAGACGACAAGCGTGCTTCTCGCCAGCACATACTTTGATTGTGCCAACAGCCCTCGCGTAGCCGCTTCTGCGTGGCATATGGCGCGTACATCACCGCCTTGACTGCACTCGTTCTCTGTCAGCCCTCTCCTCGACTCTTCATCTCTCACAGGCTTCGACATACCCCGTCATCAGTTGGCGTCAGCTTGATCCTCTTCTTCTTCTCCGCCCCAATTCCTGCTCTTGTTCCTGCTCTCGTTACTACTTTCGTTTCTGCAGTCCCGCCCTCTCTTCAAAGTCACTTCTTGGTCTCCCTGGGTCGAGATGCAGACCAGGCGGGCCAGCAAGGCCACTGCTCCTGCGCCATCATCGCCTCAGTTGCCATCATCTCCTCCCGCCCTTCCAGGCGTCAGGCGAAACCCCCCGAGAGCCAAAAGGCCGCAAGCAGTTCAGGATGTCGACGAGGCCTCTAGTTCGGGCCTCAGCTCTGGTCTAAGCTCTCCTTCTGCCAGACTCCTCAAGGGGGCTCTTCGTCCTTCTCATCTTTCTGACGTTCGTCCTTCTTCACCATCTCCCGGTGGACCTTCGGCGTCAGCCCTCACGCCCAACGCATCTTCTGCGATGCCAAGCGTGGAACTGCCCAAAGGCCTCACCTCCGTTCCACGCAAAGGATCCATCGTCTTTGATCCCCCACCGCGCCGAGGGGCCCCTCGCCGAAACAGCGGCAGCAGTCTAAGGATAAGCCCTGATAGGGACTCTGAAGATGAGCCAACTACCCCACCCAAGTCCGCAGCCGAGCTTGAACGCGAAGAGTTGATCCTGAACGAGATCGAAGACGCGGAGCATCAGCTCAAGGTTGAGGCCAGCGACTCGTTGGCAAGGGACGCTATCAACGTTATTAAGCAACTTCAGGACAAATCACGGCCAGCGTACCACAAGGTGCTGTCTATGAAGATGCAGGCCTTTGAGGCCTCTCGCCGCGTGTTTCTTGCCCCTGGGCAAGCATTCCCGTTCCTCCAGTACGGCTGGCTGGACAAGACAAGACTTGACATCTCAGATTCAGCCCGCGCCAACGTTCGTCTTGCCGTCAAGTTGGCAAACATTGCCACCGCGCTCAGCCACATAGAGAGGATCGAGTCCGACGCAAGGGGTTCAAAAGCTTTCCTGGACGCATTAGACGCCAACTTTCCCCACCATTTCGCCGCCGAAGAAGGGAAACAATACCTGTCGTTATCGTTGGAGATACGGACCCAGAGAGCAATAGAACGCATTGTATGTTCCGCCATAGGCATAGACAAGCGTACGGAGCTTAGCTGGGTGTTTTGCCCGACGGAACCTGGAGCCGCCCAACCCCCCGAGGGAGGATACCCCGAGCTCTTCAGAAAAGGTCCTTACAGGCCTCTCGCCGGACTCGAAGCACAAACGCTTGTCAATGTCTGCTCGGCCAGGGTTTTGCGAATATGGGAGATCATGTCGGACAATGGCACGCGGTCGATTAGATGTCCCATGAACATGGCCAGCGTCCGAGATGAATTTCCCTTTAGAAACATGCTTCTTCATCTGAAATCTTGGCTTATGGATCGATTTCAGGGCATCTCGCATTTGATGGCCAAGATGAAACAGGATGAGGTGGCGAAGGAGGAAGAGCGGCTGCTTGAGCAACTGCGAAAAGAGGAAGCAGAAGCACGACGCGCCCTGGAGGAGGAGCGAAGAGCTCACCAAGAAGAGCGCCGAGCCAAGGAACAAGAGCTCAGGGCGCGAGAGGAAGCCCTAGCTCAAGCGAAGCAGCGGCATCAGGATCAAGAGCAACGGGAAGCGGAAGCCCGTGAAGCCAAGGCTCGAGAGGACACGAGGGCCCGAGAGGAACTGCGGCGTCAGCAACGGCACCGAGAGCAGGAAAGAGTGCGTAATGCAGATGTGCCTCGACAAGAGGAGCATGTGGCGCAGCCGGGGGGCTATCCATCGCCGAATGCTGATAGGGGCACATGGGCCGGGGAGAGCTCCCCCGAGAGCATCCGTAGCTCTGAGGGCACACCACGACGCATCGTACATGACGGGTAAAGTCCGATCTATTTCCCCATGTTTAACCCCTCCCGTTACTAACCTTTGGATCCAGACCGAGACAATCATTGTTCAGAACCAGAGACATGGTTGATATGCTCAACGCGTCATCTCTTGAAGAAGAGCAATCGCCATCGGAATCCTCCCGCAAGCGATCTAACCCAAGCGCCTCATATGAGCCAGAGGACGACGACGGTTCCGAGTCCGAGCAGAGGACACGCAAGAAGGGCAAGACGGTCGCCTCGTCTATCACTGTGCGCGGACGAAGAAGATCAGCCGCCGGCGGCCCATCACGAGACGACACTGACAGTTCGTATGAGGACGACAATGAGGAGCCAACCACCTCCGCTCCTACTCGGCGGTCGCGTGCATCGCAGAGGCCAGAGAACCCGCCCGCGCCTCCGCCGTCCTCCGCTCCAGACTATGCAGCCCTGCGCCACGCCAAGGAGGCGAATCGCAGGGCAGCGCGCCTGAGCAAGCCGCGACCTCAACAGATCCGTCACCCCTGGAGCGAAGAGGACTCCAACACCCTGATTGAGCTCGTCAAGACGCGCGGTGCCCGCTGGGCCGACATGGACAAGCATGAAAGCGCAAGATTCCAACATCCGCGCAACGCGCAGGCGTACCGCGACAAGGCTCGCAACTTGAAAGTCGACTTCCTCATCTCTGACGCGCTGTTGCCCGAGGGCTTCGATCAGGTGGCACTGAGCCACAAGGAAGTGGAGAAGGTGCGTAACGCGGGCAAGAATCCGGGCAGACTGGAGCGAGATGTGGACGAGAATGGCAGGCCCACGCATACGGCCTATGTCCCATGAAGCTGGCAGTTTGAGGTCTGTGTAGATGGACGATTCCCTCTGCCACGCATACGGTGTATATCCCCTGAAGCCAGCACTTTGAGTCGATCTAGATGGACTATTTCCTTTCCTTCTCCCTGTTCTTCTTCTTCTTCTTCTTTTCTTTCTCCCTTTATTTTCTCTTTCTCTCTGTTTTCTATTTTCTCTTCGTCTTTCAAGGCATAGTGCGCGAGTTCAGGGGCAGGACAATTCACAATTCATTTGCTGGTTGGGGGGCGGTTTTCTTCAGGGCAAAAACCTGATGGCGGTCTGGTATCTTGCCGGCTCTGGACGGGACCTATGTACCTACTTATGCGATGGCAAACTGGGAGCCATGGATCTTTTGTTACATCGGCAGAGAACTTCTTCTTCTTGTTCTTATGGGCACGATGCCTCTTTCGTGGTATATCTGCAGAGGGTGGGTAGGCACTTGCCGGTACCTTCATCTATGCACTACATGTACGAGTATACAGTAATAAAAAAACAATCACCATTTCCAGACGCCTCAAGTCCCTGTCCACCATTCAGTACCTCGGTGGTGCAATCATCAAGGTACCACGTTTGAGGCCGCCCATCTAAACCTTAATGCTAGCATAACATCTAAGGTACCGCCTGGGAGGGTGCAATGTCACATTCTACGACTTCAGAGACATGACTTGGCAAGAGCCATTATGGATAATAAAAGAAAAGAGTGGCCAAGTTAAGATTCATAGTAAAGGGACTCTTTACAAAAGAAGAAGCTTCTCTTTCATCCTATGCTACATCTGTCCAAGCAATCTTCCGCACATACTCATGAGTCCCTACCCAGGGCTCCGTTGGCTTGTTCTTCTTGTTGTTGTGCCAGTCCATCTTCCCTGTCTCTCCGACAAAGGAGAAAGGGGGAAAAGGACGAAGGTCTTCAAGATGACAACAGGGCAAGCCACCAGGATAGGCCTCACATCATCGGGTATCGATCATACTGCTTCGCACAAGGCGTGGAATATAAAGAGAAGAAAACACCACTCGTCATCGTCATCTCCATGCTGCCAACGCTAGTCCCCAGAGGACCCAAATCCCCGGGGACAGCATTGACAGGCAGAAATGAATTGAGAAGAGTAATGGGGGGAATCAAAAGTCATCTGCGTATCGCGGGAAGAAAAAGAATAAGAAAATATAGAGAGGGGAAAATAAGAAAGATTTGTTGCGCTCGTAAACTCTTGAAAGGCCAGGGCAGCTGTAGCGACGCCCTCAACTATAAGCGAGAGGCAGAAAGATGCGGTAGAGACAGGAGGCGGCTCCGGCTAAGTGGATGGAAAATGTGATCCGTCCCATCGCATACGCACAGAGCATGGATTATGATGTGCCTGAATCCAGGCTTTTCAGATCATGTTGGGTTTCCGGCCATGCAAGGAAAGGGAGTCCGCGGTCAGCAAACGTCCCCAGGACAAAAAGAAAAAGGACTTGTTTCGCTTCAAAGGAAAGGGCCACATGAGAGCGGCCACACTATGCAATGAGCAAATCAAAAGTGGTGATGACGGCAAATGGAGCTTTATCGTGCATGGGGAAGATCGCGGTGCTTGAGCCTGTTCGTCCGCCAGCCTTCATACCACTGCTCCCTGCTTGCCTCACGCAGCTCAGCGCGCCACTCAGTGAAGACGGCTTCCTTCAAGCGTACAAAGTTGCAGTGCTCCTCGTTGTAGGGATCAGCAAATCCCCAGGGGAACTGCCGACCGATGACGCCGGGCTCGTACAAGTCGGGGCTAATGATGGAAAGGGGGAGGAACGGCGCCTCCTCTTCCTTGGCCTCCTCTTGGGACTTGTGCTTGCGGATGGAGTTGGTGGAGAGTCTCTTTGAATGGCCTGCAGAGACAGGTGATGCCACTGGCTCGTCTGATTCGGCTTCATCGGACTCCTCTTCAATAACGCTGCTGTTATCCTCGTCTAGGCCCAGGGCCTCCAGAGGATCCAGGTTTGCTGTCTTGATGCTGTCCCAGACTGCCTTTCTGAGAACACTCATGTGCTTGGTAGTGATGGTATCGGCCTTGGAAATGACAGGGATGACGGTGGTCTTGTACTGGAGAGTTCGGAGAACTTGAAGGTCAATGTCCTCATCGAGAGCACCAATGGTTCGAGCGGTGCCATGTTTTCCGTTGGGGTAGCCATTGCGCGAGGCAGCAAGTTTCGCGGTCGCAATATTGCGATCCAGGCGCGAGGGATCCATGACATAGAAAGCCGCGTGGATATGGGTATCCTTGACACCTGGAGAGCGTACGACCTTCATTTCCTCGGCAAAGGTCTCTTCAAACTTGCTCTCCAAGAAAGCAGACATTTCTCTCAACTGAAGATCAACGACATTCTTCTCCAGACCCTCAGAGTCCCAGAGGGTCAGTCCAATCCGCTCGCCATCGATTTCCGTCTCCAGGTAGTGGGGGATGAAGTTGCCGACGGGAGGGATAGAAGCTTGTATCGCCTCTTCATCCTGCTTTCTGCCCTGCTTCTTTGCCGGAAGCGCCAAGGCAGTCTTGAGAAACTCGAGAAACGAGGTTTTGCCGGCATTTTGCGTTCCCAGGATCAGAATGCTGGTGATGAGGTTAGCTTACTTGCCGTTTGAGTTTTCATCTCTAGTTGAGGGTTGGGATGAGGAGAGAATGGACGGAAAGATGAGTAGGTATGAATGGAGTGATGGCTTACTTGAATGGGGTCGGGTCCTTGCGTCTGCGAATCCTCCTTGGGTTGTTGATGGTGCTCATAGCACTGCTGGCATAGCTGTAACGACCCCGGTTCGTCATGCTCTCAGATCTGGCATAGGGGTCAAAGGCATTGGCGGGGATGGGGGGAATTGGGATGTTGTTGGGAACGGCACGAGCAGGCTCCGCAGAGGAGCGGCTGCTCGAATCGCGGGCAGAATGGCTGCTTGGTGCGACGGGATTGGCCTGCAGCTCGGGTGCAAACGACTTCGACAGCTGCTCGGAGCCGCTGAAGAATTCGGGCAGCTTGGGAGCGGCTCGTGAAGTGGGCGGATGCTGGCGGTCGACTTCGGCGTGGGCCTTTCTATTGCCCTTGCCCAAGTCGCCGCTCTTTGTCCGTTTGAGAAGCATTCCGAAGCTCGAGCGACGAGGCGAACTCATTCTCTAGCCAGTGACGAAATGCTGGGTGTGTGAAGGCTCGTCGAAGGTCGATGGAGCCGCTGCGTGGAAGTTATGTTGGAGAATTGAAAGCAAGTAATGTGCCGCGACGACAATGACGACGGAAGATGTAGTAGTCAGGTGGGCGGTATCGACTGCTGGAGCACCGGGGAGGTAGATGCGAGATTGAGACGAAATTCCTACTCAGCACACAAAGGTCAGAAAGAACTGAAACCTCAAGCGACTTTGGATTGTTGGTCTGCTGCCGGGGCTGGGCTTTCGTTTCCCACAGCGCTGGAGACGCAACAGGGGAACTCGTCAAGGCGCAAAATAAAGCAAACACCAGCCGTCAAAGCACTGCGGTAACAAAGAAGAAGAGGAAGATGACATGCATACCCAAACAAACGATTCCTTTGTAAAAGGATGTCAATGCAGGTCTAATGCACCAGCTACGTAGGCAAAGAGGCGGGGAGGCGGGGCTTCTGCAGCGGAGACGACTCCAATTCGATCGTAATGGTCACTAGATGATGTCGGGAGGCGATTAGCAGCCATTCAGAAGCAGAAAGTCAGGGTCTCAGGGTTCCGGTCGCCAGGCGACGCGTTGGGAGGGTCGAACGCTGCCGCCGACAGCCGCGGGCCAACTGGAACAGCCCCCCCAATGCTATGTCGCGACTGTTTTTCCCCAAGCCCAAAATTGGGCTTCTCGAGCATCTGTCACCAAGCAGCTGGCCGTGTCTCCATCACTGCGTCTGCAGCTGGCCATGCCGCATCGCAAGAGAGGTCGGTTTTGTCGCAAGGCTGAAGCTTGCCGCCGCCGCCGCCCATAGGGAGCCAGTCAATACCGTCTCCAGGGCCGCGCCACTTCAGGATGGCCCAGCAGCAGCAATTGCACTTCCATGGCTCATTGAGGAGCTGGCAGCACGGAAATTGTCGCAATTGTCGCACTCGTCGTGGGTCTTGAACAGGGCAGCAGACCGTGAAAGGGGAGCGAGAGGGAAAGAATGCAGAGCAGCGGAATGAAGACAAAGTGATGCCGATTCTCGGTAACTTACAATTGCGTGTTTGAGTGATTCGTGGTTGCCCGTGAGCTTTTCCGTCTCTTGCTCCTTCTTGTTAGGCGATCGAGACGGCGATTGTAATTTGATTTTTATTTGTTTTTTCTTGCTTCTTCTTGGTCCAGCCGAGACGCGGGGAAGTTGGTCAAGATCGTAGGAAAGCGCAAGTGGTGCGTGGTTGTTCCTGTCTTGACTCGAGGTGTGAAAGAAAAGCGGAAAAAAAAGAGGCAACAGAGCCGGGGGTTTTGCTGGAGCTCGACACCGCTTTGACTCAGCTCGTGAACCTGCGCAAAGCTTTTTCTTGTTGCGGTACAGGTATCACCAGGGCCAGGGTCACGGCTTACAAGTACAGCCTGCTCGGTCGGATGTCACAGCGGTAACGAGCGCGAGAGAGAGAAGAGAACAAGGACTTGTCGGCAGCGTCAAGCGCCGAAGAAGCCAGGGGAGGGGAGCGGCGAATCGGCAAAGAAAGGTCGAGGATATCGCGGCGATGAGGCAAGGGAACAGAATCGAGCGAGCGAAGGCTTTAGCACTCCCAAAGAAAGAAATGTGAAAAGGGAAAAGAAGAGTTGGGAGAGATGAGAGGGAGGGAGCGCACATCGGCTCCGACAGCTTGCGCGCGTTTGTCCTCGTTCGTCTCTGGCTTCTGCACCAACTCTTGGGCTTCAGGGGAGCCACCGACAGCCAGTGCCAGCAGAAGCGCCAATCGAGGGTCCTAGGTTCGTGATGCTAGGTGACCCTGGCCCCATTTCGCCTCTCCACAAGCGCATCTAACCAGCCCTGGCAAGGCATCATGTCATGGCGATTGCAGGTCTCCTGCTGGCCGGTCCTGCGACCCCTGGCGAGCATGAAACACGGCATCTGAAGCTACCAAGCTACTTACCTGACTGCGTCTTGATTCGACGCGACGACTTCGAAAACGTTGCTTTGCCACGACACACAGAGGGAGGCCGGCGCAGGTATCATCATATGAAAACCCAGGAGAGCAGGCAGATCTTTTCTTCCATACCTTGTTGGCTACCTACAGAACAGGCCTAAACACCATCACGGGCTGATTGCTCTCGCAGGTACGGCGGATCTAGCAAGGTATCGACATAGGTAGGTACCCATCTACCTGGACTGCCTACCTACCAAGGTATCAAGGTAGAGCAGGTATCGTCTGCCACGGTCCATGTAAGTGCAAGTGGTACGCAACACGAATCACGACAGCTGCTTACTACCTAACCTGCCACGACATTATCGTAATACCTACCTACTAGTAATGCTACCAGGAGAGCCTGCATAGGTAGGTACCTTAAGGTAGGTAGGTAGGTATGTTCAAGGCACAATGTCACAAGCTTGCTATTGGGCTTTTCGTTCTGTGAGGCATACTACCACTACAGAGTACAAGCACCTCGTACTTGTATGCCGTGCTCTCTCGCATGCAGTACCAGCGCATACATAAGATAGGACATACCTAGGTACTAGGTATCAGCCGGGGGCCTCGTTGGCTCGGTTGGGTTGCGACGCACTTGCATCCTCCGCACCTCAAATGCCGCCCCTCGAATGAGATTTCCCTTGAAACCAGCGAGGACAGGCTAATCACCCTTAAGGATAAGACTATGCATGGCTCCCGAAGAAGAGGTGAAATGAACAATGGCAGCAATAGCAGCAATAGCAACAATAGCTCGGGAAATCACTCGTCAACACCATGTCGGATCTTTGTCCTTAGTCTTGGGCCGCTCAAATTGCAACGGCAAAGAGCCCGCCTTGGTCTGCGGGAGTCGCTCGATTCAGGACACAGAGGGAGCTGGAAACAAATTATCATTCTTGGTCTGGGGCCAAGTCCCATCGCGGAGCTTTGCCCGATTCTTGGCACCGACTCCAGCAAGTCCCCTGCGATCCCTGCAAGCGTTTAAGATTGCAGGTCCGCTTCTATTCGCCATCTCGAGAAGTCGTCACGCTACTCAGACACCAATCACGCATCGCCCTTGGTTCCATCGGTTTCCTCTCGCGTGGTCAAGGTGAAACCGGGCTCGACAGGGCCACAAAAGCCCGCCAAGCTAGTAGCCGCAGGACGAGGCTGACACTACTAGTAATTCCAATACTACTACTAGAAGGACGGAGATGAGAAGACCGTTCTGCATGTACGTACTTCGGCGGCCGACGGAGCACTCATCGTCTTGAATTACTCGTGCAAGCAGGAGGAACTTGACAACCTCTCGGGGTACTCAGTTGCAGACGAGGAAGCTTATCTAGAGAGTGACATACATACGATCCATGGAGGTGCCTATAGACGGTACGAAAGCCCCTCCACCTAGGTATCTAAGGTACTTACTCTCTACAACTCACTCCAGGAGATTAGAAAACACATCGATTCCGCCATCTTCAGACAATAAGGTAGACATGTAAAGCAAGGCAAAGGCTGCCAATGCCGTCTCGGTGAGTGGTATATCGTCTATACTCGTACAAGGATATGAATCCATAGAGGTCATCAGGTGTACCGGGGTGTCCAAATGCCAACCGCTCTTTGTGCCCTCCTCTCTTCCCTTTATAAAGAAATGCAATGCGGTCCAACGCCTCTACCAACCAACCTCTTTGAGTGATTACTCGAGAACAAAGAAAAAGAGAAACAAACACCCCATCGGGTTCTCCGCAGGCGCCCTCTTCACCCTTCAAAGACCTCATGCTGCAACTCGATGCCGTACTCCTGCGCCATGTTCTTCATGCGACGCTCCATCTCATCCTCCATACCGCCGCCGAGACCAAGTAGCTGTCGCAGCTTGAAGAAATAAAAGGCAACATCCGTCAACGTCAAGACCGACTTGAAGATGATGTGCCGCCACGCATTGTTCAGCCGCTGCACCCAGGGAAGATTGGGGTCCTCGTAGAGACTGCGACTTGCCCACTCGCCCATCATCTTGATACGGTTGACGGGCGATCCCAGGTATTGGTTGTTGCCCTGGACGATGCGCATGTTCCGGCCGATGAAGATGAGCTCCTTAGGCCACTTGTCCTCGTCTGCGAGAATGTCGCGAATACCTTGCTTCATTCTCTGTTGCAGATAGTAGTGCCGCTCCGCAGGAGAGAGGCCTTCGAGCTCCTTGATGTCTTTCTGCATGGAGGACTCGCCGCCCTCGTACGGCTTCATCAGGGTCGCGCTCGCAAACATGTCGGCAGCCTTGATGCCCCATTTCTCCGTCACCTCAACGACGGTTCGGTTGTCAAACGTCATGAGGGCCTTCCAGAACCTGCCATACTCGTGGCGGAACTTGGGCGACATGTAGACATAGAGGCCATGGTCTATCAGCACAAGCTCCGCGCGGCCGCTAGGAAGTCGCCGGATAAAGATGTTTCCCGGGTGAGGATCACAGTGGACGACACCCCATTTGAAGATTTGGGCGGAAAAGAGGTCTACCATGGTAGTCATGACCTCTTTCGTCGTTAGGCCAAGGCCGCCTCTCCCGCGAAGGCCCTTCCATTCCTGGCGCTCGGGCTTGATCTTTTCCTGGTAGGGATTTGTGCGAAGCTCGCGGCGGGCGACATCCATGTCAACCGGCGGCAGGGGAGCGCCGGCTCCGGGGCTGCCTTTTCCGTATCCACCCAACCATCTCGAGGTCATGGCCTTCTTGTCCCACAGTCTGATGCCCTCTATCCATTCGGTCGTCATTACTCGCTTCGTGGTGAGGTCAGAATACACAGTGGGGATGTAGACCCGCCCTCTGAGACGGCTCTCTGAGTTGACCAGCTCGCGCATCGTCTCGGAGTTTCTCGCCTCGCTCAAGAAGTCCGTCTCCAGCTCTAGGCGCTCGGAGATGAAAGGTACCAATGTATAGAGGGGAAGGTCGAACCACTTGGAGAATATCCAGGTCACGGTCCTGTTCAGTTCAGACAGTCAGCGTTGGAACCATGCAGTGCGAGAAAGAAAGGGAAATAAAAGCTGTAGCAAGGGGGGAAGCGACATACTTGAAAGTCCATAGATCCCAAGAGATTTGGGTCTGAATCTCTGGCTTTTGAATCTTGATAGCGACCTCTCTCCCATCGGGAAGCCTTGCCCAGTGAACTTGCGCAACACTTGCGCTGGCGCGGGCCTTTCTCTCCATGACGCCATAGCCCTCCTTTCCGCTGAAGCTGACTCCAAACACTTCCTCGACGCTCTTGCCAAAGTCCTGCCGTATCACCGCCTCCACAGCCTTCCAGTCGTCCTGCGGCGCATCGTCAAACATTCTGCCGAACATTTTCTGGAATTCGGGCGGCAGCACGGCGCTTTGCATGGCGATGGCCTGGCCGATCTTGAGATAGAGCCCGCCGTTTGCGCGCAGCAGGTGGAAGAGCCGTTCGGCATTGCGCATGTGCAGATCAGGCACGGTCCCTCCGACCCAGGGCTCCGGCCGGAAGTTGATCTTGTAGTCGAGGGCGGCGACGAGCGCCGTGCCAAACGTGCGAAGCGACCGCCCAACGCTGGAGGCGTAGAACTGCCGGTCGACAACGTAGATGCCACCGCCGACGACGGCCGTGACAAGCAGTCGACGCCCCCATTTCCGGCTGCCCTTGTACTCCTTGGCGGCTCGCGGCGCTCCCAGATCTGCTGGGGACGGAGGCCGTAGAGGCTGGAAAGGCCCCGAGTTTTGTATGCGCCGGACGAAGACGTCATACCGTGAGGGCACGCGACTTCGCAGCAGAGCTTGTCTGGAGTGGCTCAGGCCGAGGCCGCTGCGACAGAGCATGCCAGGCATTGTCGAGGATCGAGTGGCTCTATCGCGGCGTCATCCGGGAGAGGAAGGGGAAGGACATGGACGAGATGGAGAATGGCAAGATGGATGCAGTCGGCAGAAAAGGTGGGATGGAGGCGGTGCCTTGGAGGGTGTCCCCGGCATTTTGTGGCTCCCCGGATGGCCGGTCGGTGCCGACTTGGGGTTGATCCGAGGTTTGGCCATTCAGATTCACGGATATACGATGACGGAAGTTGGCATCTTGGGCAGGTTTTTGTTCTCTTTTTTTTTTTTCAGTTGTCGTATACCTATTAGGGCTTATTTTCTCTTCTCGGTTCAGGTTCTATCTTTCCTTTGGAGACAGCTTTTGAACACAGTTGTCGTCTCTGCTTCGAAGACTTGCTGAGAATCCTATGCTAGGTAGTTTGGTAGTCAAGTCCGCTACCCGTACTTGATGCTGAGTATAGGAAATGTTCACAGCGCCGTTTCATGAGATACACATCAAGTCAGGCAAGAAAAAACTCGATAGTAAAACCCCACCAGTAGCCCATGTTCTGGAAAAGAGGGAGTAGTTCCAACTTAATCGATGGTCTGCCTTCTTCAATTGTGAAAATGCCCGCCTGATATTCTAGGGTAAGTATTAGAGGTTGTCGCTCCATGTCCGCAATAGCAACAGGTACATTCTCTTACCTATGTTCAGCACGCCAGGAACAATCTATGACGGAATGTCTCATGCTGACTGATAAGCGAGCGATAAGATAGGCGGATGTACTAAGGTACCTGGTACTCCGACCAGAGCTTCGCGTCGGGTACGAGTACGAGGCGAAAGCATGCGGGGAAGAGCTTAATCATACAGATCATACAGACGGGAGTCTCGTCGTCACTGCAGGTTCTATGTATAGAGCGGCATATTACTTGCGTCACTGAATCTTCCCTGGGAATTCAAAAGCGCCAGTCACTGCGAGATGACGCGTAGACATGTCGCATGCCCTGGTTTCGCGCATACGGAAAAGCTGGGAAACCACCTGCTATTTGTACAAAGCGCATCATGCTTTGCCTTGTCGACTTGGCACGCCAGCGTGTAATTCCCGAAACAGGGCCTGTCTGGTTGCCCACACACAGGGGTACCGTTTCGGGGGCATTTGGAGCAGCTGCGAAACGGAGAGTGCCTGGCCTTTCGATGATCTCGACTCCTCACGAGAATGAATCTTCTTCTACCTACTTACCTTATCGTATGTACTTGCTCACATCGTGGACAATCAAAGAGACGGATGAATGGTGTACATGTTTGATCGCTGTGTTACCGGCTTCCACTTCATCTCTTCGGCTGCCATGTCACTTATTATCTCAGGAGCTCTACGATGATAAGCGGCCCCTTATCAAAAGTCTCCGCATCAAACCACAGGCGCCCAAATGCAGCGGTCACTCGTGTCACCTTCCTCACTGGAAGTCGCACGCAATTGGGCTTGTGAAATCTCTAGCATTGGCCGGTGGCTTTCTGCGGATGACATGCTGCGCAACACAATGTCGATAGCGTGGCCCCAAAAAAACATGGCTTCAAAGCCACACAGATTTCTTCGTGTTCTTCTGTCCTTGTACGATATGAGGGCCAGGAACGGGGAGAATCTGTGTGGCGCTTGTGGACCTGCAGCGAAATGCGGGTCAGGCGAGACACGGGCGAGGAAAATCAATGGGGCAACGGCCCAGTTTGTTCCCGGCCCTTTGTGGTCTTGTGGGCAAGACAGCCGAGCGCAGGGCATTTGATTAGCGGACAGCACCACTATAACTTACGGGGGGTTAAGATTCAGGAACGCGCACATTGCAAGAGCTGCCACAATCAATGCGTGCTCCTCGACGTTCGCATACTAGTAGTATTTTCGCAAGGCACAGGCCGACATGTAGTTCCTGTGATCTTGGGGCGCGGAATGAGTGTCCTCGTAATCTAGGCACCAGAATGCTCATTGTGTGACGCCAATGGCTTGTGCCTTTCGTATTGCGACTCGCATTAGAATTTGCGCCTCTCCAAAGGCTCCAAACTCAATTTCAATTTCCAGTCCTAATGTTGCATCAGGTTCATCTCAGAGGGTACCGCCTCCTAGCACCTGCTGTTCAGTCAGGCACAAAGTACCCCGGCCGCCAAAGAAGTGTGCAGCGAGACATGGAGTTCTCGAGCACGCCCACGGCCTGGAGTCAGCGCTATGCTCAACCAGGGCCTAGCAGCCGCGAACGGCCGGTGGATTCATGTCCTGTCTGGGCTTGGGGAGTCTCCCTGGAGGGGATGGACTCTTCGGTTGGCTGAGATGCGCTAAATGCACTACGAGTCCGGCACCTTAGCGCTGCATCCATCACTGGAACGTTTGAGCTTGTGCTGGGCTAGGTTGGTACCTACCTGTATCCATTAACCTACTCTGTGTGCAGGTGCGCTCTTCCAGCACCTTGCCGGAGTGCTCCATCTCGTCGCTACAACGCTCGCTGCAGTTGAACCTGTCTTCTGGAGGTGTCTGCCCGGTCTCTCTACTCCTCTCCGGCATCATCGCCAGACCTCGATCCTTTTCACGGTCTCTCCTCCACCCCCCTTTCTGACGCTCGTTGTTTGCTTGCCGCACACTCGCAGATCCATAATACCAAGGTCATCAGCCCAGACGGCGGGCCCACCTAGAGCAAACAGCAATCTGGGTGCCGCACTCGTCGAGTCTTCTCTCCCATCTCTCTCGCCTGGGGCGGCTCATTCGTTCTTGTTGAGTGGCTCGACGCGCGAATTGTCCTGCTGGGTTCTCATGCGCCATCGCCGAATCGCATTTGCCATCACAACTATTGCTACCGGCCGACGCTGCCCTGGATGATGTGGAGGATTGCGACAATAGCCCAGTAACGCATCTTGGGGGGGCCATTCATTCGTTCAGCCCATTCGCGCACGATACGGCGATACCCAGTCGCTCGCAAACCAAACCCACCACTCTACTCTAAACATCGAGCCTTTCTTTCTCCTGCTCCTCACGCCATTGCCTCGCACTTTACTCGGTCCGACGGCCAAGGGAACACAAGCAATAACATATTGATATTCGTCCCACCGACCCGTCCTGCCGCCGCTCCTGAGACTCTGCTGCTCTCCCTCGCCCCGCGTCGCCTAGTCGACGGTTGTTACTGCTGGGCGTTTTCTGCTCAACCGTCAACATGCTTCGACCGGCGACGCCCTTGACCGTGCTGCTTGGAATTGCCTTTGCTTTGCTGCTCCTATCCGTCTTGTCGGCCCCCATCATCTCGGCCATCCCCCTCGGCAGTTCTCAGGATGTCCAGTTTGGCGTCTTTGGCTTTTGCCGGCCCTCGGGCTGCAGCAGCGTCGGCATTGGCTATGACATTGGTGAGAATACCCATCATTACATGACCCCGTGCTTGTGCCCATGATTCTCCGTGTCCTCCTCAGCCTCGACTCCATATTTGATTGCTGGGCTTGCAATGTTTCCCAACAAATGGCAGCGCGGTAACTAACAAGAATGTGCGTATAGCGAGCGTCCTCACCGACACGAAGAGCTCGTCGTTTGATCTGCCCAGTGGCGTTCGCCATACGCTCTCTTCAATCCTGATACTTCACCCCGTCGCCGCCTTTCTCACCCTCGTCATGCTTCTGATGGCCGTTGCTGCCCACTTCCGCGCTGCTTCGCACTCGTCAAGGTATCTGCTGTTCTTCCTCGTCTTCAACCTCGTCACGTTGCTCGTGTGTGTGGCTGCTTTCGTCATCGACGTCCTACTCTTCATACCTCACATGGCATGGGGCACCTACATTGTTTTGGCTGCCACTGTTCTCGTTTTCTTGAGTCTTCTGGTCTCTTGCGCCATGCGACGCACTCTGGTTAGCAGGAAAGACCGAAAGCGGAGAATTGCAGAGAATGCCGAGATGAGCGGAGAGAACTACTACAACCGAGAGAATCAGGCGCCGAAATCTACCTTTACCATGACGACCCAGCCTACCATGCCAGTTGTGAGTGGTGGCAACGGCACACAAGACATCCTGCCTACGTTCGCTACGTACGAGACTCCAAGAGATGACCAAGTCAGCGACGAGCGCATCCCTCTAACACAGCGAACCACATCCGAAAGATCGCCCCATGGAAGGCAGCCCGCGCCCGCCGACATGGCTGCCGTTGCGGGCAGCGAGATTGGCAGTGCTTACAGCGGACCGCAGAGGTCCGCATCCCAGGACTCGTATGGCAACTACGGCAACGTGCCACCCAACGCCTACGGACAAGCCGGCCAGCCGTACGATGGTCGCTCGAATCGAGTCCCCATCAGGAGAGAGACGGACCCCGTCAATGGCTATGGCGCTGGCGGCCGTGGCGGCTATGGAGCCCCCATGAGAGGACGGGGCGGCTATGGCCCTCCCGGCCGGGGTGGATACGGCCCGCGAGGCGGTGGACGTGGAGGATACGGACCGCCATCTCGCGCAGGCTACAATGGCTCATACTACCACATGCCCAGGGGCGGAGGACGTGGCCCTTCGCCGATGAACAACCCTAATGATGGCGTGGCCGGGCAATACAACAGAATGCCGTCGCCATCGCAGCAAGGCTATGCTGGAGCACCGCAGCAGCCGCTACAGGCAGACGTCCCCCTAAACCCGGCTCCGTCCGGCGCCGGCAACACATACGTCCCTTACCGCCCGAATATCGATCTGCCAAGGGCTGAGTCCCCCCCACCACTGCCGGAACCTACCGAATCTGCCGTCTCGTCGGTACCAAACGCCATTGAGATGGATGCGACGCCGGCTGCCGCGGCAAGCAGCAACAATGGCCAGTTCGGCAACCTCAGAGATAGCGACACAGACGTTGCCGGAATGGTGGACCTCCAACAGGGCCAGCAGCCCTTATCCACGCAGAGAGACACGTTCGCCAGCGATGGGAGCAGGTACTCTCAAGATGAGTATGTATTGTACTGTGTTGCAGCCTCCCTCCACCCAGGTACCCTCGCCGTTCATCAAGTAGGTGGCTAACCAATTCGAAAGTACATCTAGGCAATTTGCCCCCTCTCGTGCCCAGTGGAACCAAGAGGCTGGGAGAGACTCACCTCGGGTACCCGTAGCAAACTCGTCGCGCGGACCTACCCCGAATATGTCTGGCATGACTGCGCCAGTGGTTGATGCCAAGGGCAAGGGCGACTACTACGAAGACGTCGACCCTCGTTTTGACCAAACAGTTTATACACCCCCGCGTCGCCAGACTCCTCCGCCGCCGCTGCAGCTAAACACGGTCGACTACGAAGATATACGAGTTCCCGCCAGCGGCACTCGCAGCCCCGCCGAATCGGAACACTCCAACTTTACCTCCATCTCGCAACGTGGGATCAACCCACAATGGAGCCCGCAACCCCCAGTGCCCCAACGCCGACCAGTACAACAGCGCCATGACATGATCCTGGACAATCCCGATTTCAAGCTCCCGGGAGGTCGAGCGACGGCAGCGGGGAAGCGCAGAGGACCAGGGATGATGCCGTAGAGCGCGTATCCGAACTGATCTATCTAGCGCGACATTGGATGCTGCCTTTTGATGCTGTATGCGTCGGCTTCTTCTTCTCCTTCCACCAATTGCTCCTTCTTCCATAACCTTTCCAACCTTGCACCTTGCATCTGCTTTCTTTTTCCATGGTTATGATCACCCCAAGGAGGGTGCTTCAACTCTTTCATTGCAGATTCTTATTTAATTTCCATCCTCTCTCATCTTCGACTCGACGACGGCATGTTTGGCCTAGATCTCACTCTACAACTCATGATACTCTTGCCTCCCCCGGGCAGAGAGGCATATTAACTTCGCGACGCCTTCCTCTTCAACCTCGTGTCGATTTCTCTATAGGTACACTACTGTATATGGCAATGGCCGACACCTCTGTGTCCCTGGCTAGGTTTGATTTCTCTGTTCACAGTAATGCGACAGGCTGCCCTTCTCACGGGTGTTGGGGGATTGGGGACTTCTACTTTGAGATGAGGGCCATTTGTCTTTCTGTTTTTTTCTTTTCCCTTCTGTTCACATACGATAGCTCGGAACATCATACCCAGGGAGGTTCAATCGGAACGAATCCAAAGTAGCAAGACGTCCCTCGCTTGTTTCTCTGATTTGGCATTGAACATGTTACGCAGTACGCGCGGCTGTCAGGATACCTAGGTAGTGAGCAGACGAACACGACGCTTAGCTACCCATCTGTACGATTTCATGACCATTGCCAATTCAAGTTTGTCCACCGCTCAGCAATGTGCCTCGTTCATGTCGTCTGCCGAGTCTTCGAATCTGCAACATGCAAGCGAGGATAACGACCGGAGCAGGAAACTTGGCCGAGAACCTGGAGCCGAGGAATTGTTGAGCTTGACAACAGCCCGACGAAGCTATATCCCAATATGGCTCTGAAGGCTTGCGGCGCTGGATGATAAAACGCCCGATTCACTGACGATGCTTTAGGGCTGGACTGATGACTACTACCAGGTGGGAAAGGCAGCACATATAAACTTCTGTATGTGCGCCGGCGAGTTCAACATTTTCTGCCACTGTTCTCTGTTCAAGTCGGTTCACTTTTGCACCTGGGTGGCGGCCGGCTGCCAGTTCACCAGCTGCCTCACACTCCTCCGTTCACTTCAAAAAGGCGCGTGGGCCACCTGCTTCCTTTCTTTCTTCTCACATTTCCATCACCTCCTTTCTCCATCTTCTCCTTCTCTCACTTTCTTGCATTTCTTTCCGATCTTCGGTTCTCTCTCTCGCTTCTCCTTGTTTCGTTCTTGGAAACTCGCACACGCCACGTCACAACCTCGTCTCGTTGTCTCGTTGCCTCGGCCATCTAATTTTGGAAAGCCAAAGGTAAGTCAGCCAGAGTCCATCTGCTGCTATCTATTCCTTCCTTTCCTGCTTTTTGCCTTGGCCGGCCGCGTGTCCAAATATCGTGCGCGGAAGGAGGCCCCCAGCCAGTGGTGCCTTGGGGACTTTCCGTTCCCGATTCACCCAGCTTCTCTCGCCTTTTTCCTATCCTCCCACTTTGACTTCCGCCTCCTCGCTTATTTTTCTGCCTCTTCTTTTCCTGCTCTTCACTCCTCCTCCCCCGATCTCTCTCTCTTCTCACATTGACATCTCTCCTTGACCTTCTTCGCAAGCTCGCTGGGACTTCCGGAATTTCTTGCATCGTTTTTCTCGCTGGGCCTTTCCGCCTCGCAGTCATCTTTGATTTGAGTACCTTTCTTATCGGCACAGGAAAAAAAAAAAAACAGGAATCAGATCTTGGAGAAGAGACAGGCTTTTGGGAATCTCCATTGCCTGTTTGATTCCATCAGCATAGTGGCCGCAATTTGGACTCTGCCATCCTCTTTGGCTTTGAATCGTGAATACTGGCCCTCTCTCCCTTTACACCCCCCCCTCTCCCATATGCAACCTTGAGGCTCTGGTCTTCCGAGAGTGCTTCCACTTCCACACTTCCCATAGACTTGCTCTCTTCCGCTCGATTCTCGCTTCGCAGCTAACACGGACCTTCCTCCAGTTTTCGTATACTGTCGCACCTGACCTCTTTTATTTCTTCGACAGGTAGTTGTGGTGCCCTCATCTGACAAGATATGGAGCCATCTGCGTCGGCAATGGACGAGGTACCATCCTCACCACTCCCTCCATCCCCAACTCCTGCGGCAACGACTCCAGTCTCGTCTCAACCAACCTATACGACTGCAGGGACCATCTATAATCCCAGCTCTTCGCAGCGGCTCCAGCCTCCCGCTCGCCGTGGTCGCCTCTTCAAGCTGAACGTCGAGGCTGCCACTTTCGTCCTTGATGCCTCGAAATTTGGTTCTCCCAGACCCATCCTGTCTGATCAAGGGTTCAAGTCCGACACAAACGCGAGGACGCCGGCCGTTGCACCCGTTCAGCAGTATAGCCCTCTGCAGCAGAACTATGATCGCGCAGTGAGCCCTGCTACCAGTCCAGATCGCGAAGCCGCCATGTCGCCCCGACCTTTCACGCTGCACAACCCGCCTCTTCGAGCTGGAGTTGACTCCCTACCGCCTTCTCGCCTCGACACGGGCCACGGGTTCATGGCCACAGTCGACTCTAGCGACGATGAGAACGATAGCATCTCTGTAGGTGCTCTGCGGAACATGACGGTCAAGTCTCTCCAGAACCTGGCTTCGTACCCGAACCCGAACCAGAAGAGCGCTCAGAAGGCGCTGCTTCGGGGGACAAGACCCAAGGCCGGCAGCAGTCTCGGAAGCGGGTTATCTGTATTGGCCCAGCCATTCACATACCGCAACATGAGTCCCGGCGGCGTAAGGCTCTCCTCAAGCGATGAGCCTTCCATTGGATTGCGACCTGCTCTGTCAGACCCCAGCGCACTTCACCAGAGCTACATGGACCGTCGACGAGGACCTCGCATGGTTACTTCCGATGCTGGACCGAGCGGCACTTATGCCAGTCTCTTCGAATCTCGACGCTCGACGCCCTCTACGAACGGCGACATGCCAGACTCTCGTCCTATGGCGTCGATGCATCTCGCCACAGGTCCAGGTGCGCCCAAGCCGTTGACGGCTGGGCCTCCCGGCCAACGCCAGTACCGTCCTTCCACCTTTGAGTCCACCTTCAAGGCGCTCAAGAGCCAGGCGGCGGCCTATCAGGCGTCCGTCACCGATGTTGAAGATGACATGGATGCCCATCCGCTCACTCCCGGGGCGTTCAGCACCGTAACATCGGCGGCGCAATGCCAGAGCTTCTCTGCAGAGGACGAAGAGTATCGGCCTGCTGCTGAGAGAATGTTCAGCGAAACCCCCCAAGCCATGTCCGTGGCCGCCGACAAGGCATTTGGTAAAAGCAGAGAGACTCCAGCCGCTCCAGCCATTCCTCCCGACACTCTATTGTACCTGACTATCCACTCCGAACCGGACTGGCCACGGGAGCGCGAGCCTACTCATGATGCTCGCGAGATCACCCCCACGACCTATGGTATGCGAGGAATCGGCATTAGCAGCTGCGACACCCCGGATCAATTCTGTTTCGATTCAGCCGGCTCGGTTCACGGTGCCCCGTCAAGCATGCCGCCAGGTTGGCATTCGGGGATGCACCATGGCAAATGTTTTCACGGGGACGAGCCTACTGGCCCAATGTTCCCCCAGCAAACGGGGCCGAAAATCCTGACCCAACAGGAGCTTGCGGAACGGAGCTGGCGACTCAACGTCTGCTGGTATGGTGGCATAGCCAAGGACGTCACTTTGTCGAGGGCCTTTCTCAAGCCCGTTACCCGGACTGCCAAGCGACCAGTCACAGGGAGCATTTATGGCGCAGTTGGCGATGGGCGTCCTATCGGTACGAAGAAGAATGACTCGGCTGCCCGAGGTGACAGCGCCTGCTTGAAGAGCAGCAACTCAATGAAGTCCATCAACAGTGACGTTGCCGGCCTTGCGCTTCTTGGCGAGGTTTTGAGCCGTGCCACTTAGAGGCCGCCAACGAAAGGGACTCTACGGGGCAAGCATGCCAGGGAGATTGCCAGACGCGGAACAGTTACAGTAGTTATGGTTATGGTTATAGTTGCCTCCTTTTCTCTCTCTTTCTCTCGCTCTCTTTTTTTTTAATTATCAAGGTGTCATATGACACATCTAATGTTTGGCCAGGAGGGTTGGATGCACAGGAACAAAGCAGGAGTACCGGTTTGAGAGGTGGAAAGGGGGGGAAGTTGAGAACAGATCCTGGAATCCTAGAATAGTAGTTTTGCAAGTCGAGTGCCAATAATAACATATTATAATGCAGGATTGTTTGTCCTTCCCGAGAATGTTGAGAGACCCGTGAGTGGAAATCATTGTATGCTTGGGGCATGTGATTTGTTGGAATCGCTAGACGGATGATGCAAGATAACCACATGTTCACGTATCCACAAGGTTGAAGACGAAACAGGCCAATGGGGGTGATTTGGGGGAGGTTGATTCCAAAGACGCAGCTGGCGGGAGATCGAACCGGGCCACCCCTATCGGCACCGGGCAAAATGTCTATGGCCACTGGGTAAGCGCGCTAAAGATTTAAGGTTGCGATAGCGCTGCGCTAAAGAGAGGTACATAAGCTATCGAGTAAATGCCATATAATTTGATGTACCTTTTACGGCGCTGTAATATGGTTACAGCAGCTGCTGCAGCGCTGGATTAAGGGCGATTGCAGCTGTTGCAGAGCGCTGAATTAAAAGCGATTGTAGCTGCAGCGCTGGATTAAGGGCGATTGCAGCTGTTATAGAGCGCTGGATTAGAAGCGATTGCAGCTATTGCAGAGCGCTAGATTAAAAGCGATTGCAGCTATTACAGAGCGCTGGATTAAAAGCAATTGCAGCTATTGCAGAGCGCTGGATTGAAAGCGATTGCAGCTATTACAGAGCGCTGGATTAAAAGCGATTGCAGCTGCAGTGCTGGATTGAGGGCGATTGCAGCTATTGCAGAGCGCTGGATTAAAAGCGATTGCAGCTGCAGTGCTGGATTGAGGGCGATTGCAGCTATTGCAGAGCGCTGGATTGAAAGCGATTGCAGCTGCAGAGCGCTGTAATTACAGCAGCTATAGCAAGAGAGCGGATGAAGTACCTACGTACCTTAACCCTAGCGCGGCGCCGTTGCGAGCTAAGGGCTCTAGTATGCTCCACCCGGTGGCCATAGATGATTTGCCCGGTGCCGATAGGGGTGGCCATCGAACCGCGGAAAGACAATGGGGCCGAAAGGTGGATATTACCGCAAGGAGTAGGTACCTTACTATGGGGTTCACTCATGAACCGGTCATTTAACTCTTCTTGTGTAAGAGGTAGGTACCTGATGTCTGGACTCGGGAGGCGGCGGGATTGAATGGATGATGCGAGCTACATGTACGGAGTATGTACAGATTAACACATGGGCTCCCGCTTTGGCCGTGATACAGAACGGCTGATCAGCCGGCTAGTTTCAAGTCAGCCGTTCTGTCTCACGGCCTTTGTGGCGGCTCTTGGGTCCGATTTGATACGGTACCTTGATTTCGGGTGTTTATAGTGGGGGAAACCTTGTCTGTGTATTGCCGTGAAGGGCCATCATTTTCCTTCTTCCTTCTGCCTATCCTCCGTCTGGCTGTGTGTCTTTCCTTACCTGATCCTGTTCAAGGATTAGGCGGTTGAGGGAGAGGCATCATGACGGCCGCGCACGGCGTCATTGCGATTCTCGAGTCGACGTTTAACAGCTTGGACGTGGATAACATTCTGGCCCTGTATGCGGACGACGCCAAGTTGACAGCCCACTGTGAGTTTTCATGCTGCCGTCTCCTTTGCCGTACACACAGTTCCCACGCGTTCTTTTTCTTGCCCCAAGAGATGTCTGTTGGGATAAGAGCAAAATGTCACTTGTAACGGCGGGAGGCATATAGAATCAAGATCATGAGTGGCGGGCGGCTGAGCTGACCGATTTTGTCCTGCGTTGCTTGCCGGAAACAAAGTGTTTGGACTGGGAAACGTCGACAAGATGCACATCAGGGCCTTTTACGCCGACCTGTTCGCGTCCAACGACGGCGTCGAGTTCGTCACGCGGTGCATCAGCGGGACGCCGGACCTGGTCGTGTGGGAGTGCGACGTGCGGTGCAGGGCGAGGCGGGAGTCGGCGGCGCTGGGGATCGCGAGGGGGGAGGCCGTGGTGTTGAGGGGGGTGTCGCTGCTGAGCTGGAGGGAGGGCTTGATTGCGGAGCAAAAGGACTATTTCCATGTCGTGAGGGCGAGTTGAAGGAGAAGTTGGGAAGTAGGAAGGCAGACAGCTTCAGGGGGTGATTCGTAGGAATCGATCATCGTTGGAAGCTGCTTGAGGCTTGATGGGAGCCCTGATAAGGGCCATTAGGTTGGCGACGAATGTCACCAGAAGGGTAGCGCTGAAGCCATATTGAAGAGCCTGGGGGCACCAACGGCGCCGCAACATAAGGGGTTACAGGTGATTCATTATGGCCGACGGCCTCTATCAGCAAAAAAGGGCTTGCAGTCTCGACTTTGGCTCCCAGCTTCTGAGATTTGGTAGGGTAAGGCACCTGATGTGCTCGAGGCTATTCATCAGCCTACCTTAGGTAGGTAGACGAAGTAGGTACCTACTGCTTGGCCGCATAGGTACGTAGAGAGACTGCACGATTGTGATTTGAGCGATAGCTAAGGCACTTCCCGCAGATACTCGTATGCACGGATGGTGTGAGTGAATCACGACTGATGGCTCTCATTGGCTTGCTGACTTGTCACTCCAAAGACGTTGCAGCCATCTCGAACTTCATCCATCACCTTCTGCGGATATGGGCATCACACAAGCACGGGGCTATGACGTCAAGGAAGTAGTAGCTGATGCTGTGCGAAGTTGAGAAATAGGTGGTGAAAGCGCTCTCAGAACTCACTGCAGAAAGGACTACCAGCATGAGATGAGATGTTCTGAATTGTCTTCCGTCCTTGCACTGGCATACAAAGAATCGTTGAACCCAACGATATTGGACACAACCAGGATATTATTTCTTTGCTCTTGATATATAGAGTCCATCCTTCCACTCACTTCCAAGCTTGGGCCAAGTCCAGCTCTGGACCCTCCCCAAAACGGACTAGGGCGCAAATCGCTGCGAAAATTGACGTCGGTGGTCGGTTTGTTGTGCGCCAGAAAAATTGCTCGTGAAAGACCAGCCTGTTGTCTGCTAGAAGCAGCCATTGTTGATCATCTCGTCCGAGACGTGAACCCAACAGCCCAGGCAAAGACACGCGACCAGCGAAGCCAAGGACACGACTCTCCGGCTCAATCCCCCAATTTGCAAAAGTCTCAGTCCTTTGCGTTGCTTCCCTGTTCCTTTGCAGCGCCGGCCTCCGGGTCTCTCTCTCTTGCGGCGTGTTGTTCTCGTTGCAGCGTCATCCGGATTCGTCTGATCGTCGATGCCGTCCTGATCCCTACCTACCTACCGACCGATTCGAGCTTGAACGAACGAACGACGCGCGCCGTGCCGACAACGACGACAGCATCGACTCTCATATCTAGAGCACGACAACAATTCCACTGGGCAATTAGCTAGAGAAACAGGAAAAGCACGACAAGATGGTCTACGTGCGCCAGCGCAACCTCCCGGCCCTGAAAGAGTACAAGTACTCTGCCGTGGACCGGTCTCTCGTCTCCAAATACGTCTTGAAGCCCTTCTATACCAACTTCGTCATCAAGTGCTTCCCGATGAGCATGGCGCCGAACCTCATCACCTTGACTGGCTTCAGCTTCGTCGTCCTCAACTTCCTGACGATGCTGTGGTATAACCCGACGCTGGACCAGGACTGCCCGAGCTGGGTGTACTACAGCTGGGCCATTGGCTTGCTGCTCTACCAGACATTCGACGCCGTCGATGGTGCGCAAGCGTGAGTATTGTTCCATTTCTTGACGGGCGCTGTTCAAGAGCTGACGTAGCTGTGCAGGCGACGAACCAAGCAATCCGGACCCCTCGGCGAGCTCTTCGACCACGGCGTCGATGCCCTCAACACGACTCTCGAGGTTCTCATCTTTGCCGCTTCCCAGAACATGGGTCAAACATGGAAGACTGTGGCTACTCTCTTTGCCTGTAAGTCTCTCTGATTCTTTCTTTCTCTCTTTCTCCTTCTGTTCCTCGCTGCCCCTCTTCTCCCCCCTCTCTGCCCCTCCGTCGGCCCACTCGGCCCTGCATGCGAGTTGACTGTGCAAAGACGAAGGAAGACATGGCTCAATGAGTAGTGCTAATCCAACATCTTCAGCTCTCCTTACCTTTTACGTCCAGACCTGGGACGAGTACCACACCAAGACTCTGACCCTCGGCATCGTCAATGGGCCCGTTGAAGGCGTCCTGATTGTTGCCGCCGTCTTCGCCCTGACTGGCTATCTGGGAGGTGCGCACATCTGGCAGCAGAGCGCTTTCCGCGCCCTTGGCGTTCCCGCGTCTCTGGGCATTCCCGACTTCATCTATGATCTCACCTTTACCGAATGGTACATGGTTCAGGGCACCATTGTCCTCGTCTTCAACACCGTCGAGTCGTCCGTTAACGTCATCCGAGCCCGACGTGCCCGCGGAGACCGGTCCAGGGGCGCCCTCCTTGGCCTTGTGCCTTTCTTCTCCGTCTGGGCGCTCATCGTCACGTACCTCTACCTGCAGCCCAACATTCTGCACCACCATCTGATTCCCTTTGCCCTCTTCGCTGGCCTTGTCAATGCCTACAGCGTCGGGCAGATGATCACGGCGCACCTCACCAAGATGCCCTTCCCCTACTGGAACGTCCTCGGCTTGCTCCTTGGCTTTGGCGTCGCTGATTCCATTGGCCCGGTTTTGCTGGCCAACTATGGCGTCGGGTGGCCTAGCTCGCTCGGCGACGGCGTGTACCAGACGGCCTTTGTGTTCCTCATGCTTGGCACGGCTCTTGGTGTGTACGGAAGCTTTGTTGTGGACGTCATTGTTACCATTTGCGACTATCTCGACATCTGGTGCTTGACGATCAAGCATCCTCACGACGAGGCAGCTGCGGCGAAGCCCAATGGCATCAAGAGCCACTAAGAGATGGTCTGATACGTCGTGAATGACACAACATAACAGCACCATGAGCTCTCACCAGTGGCAGGTGCGGTGACGGTGACGGTGAATAGAGAAGACAGGTGAACGCCACGGACTTGAGAGTCAAACACAAAGACAACAAAGACATGAAGATGAAGAGATGACAAAGACAAGACAAGATTCGATAACGCGTTATGATGGATGATGCATTGCTTATTCGGGCCAATGGGCTTACATACGAGGAGAGGCGGGGGCTTTTTGATATAGACCGATGGGGGACATTTGTGCTTGCGCAACTCTTAGAAGTAGTTGCTGTGCATAATCCATGTTAGCAGAGTCTGGACTTGCTGGATTCCTATCAGACTTTGCTATGATTATTGGCAACTGAGCAGAAGAGGATGGGATGAGGCGAATATGAAGCAGGGCGTGTAATGACCGAGATTTGTAAGAAGTATTGACGTAATCAATCGATTCTCTCTTTGACCTTGTTCGCTTTGATATAGTCTGTCTGTTTCACAACAGAGCTGTTCGACTCTGGCCAAAATTCACACAGAGAAGGAAAAAAGAAAAAAGAAAAAGAAATCAGAAGAACATCCAAAAGATATTGAATCTCCGATACTGGGAATCGAACCCAGGGCTGCTCGGCACCCTTGGAATGAGAGCGAGCGATGTTAGCCACTACACCATATCGGATGTTATTGGATATTGTGGTTGGGTGCAATCTTGTATCAAGAGGCACCAGCAAAGAGCACAGTTTCTTTTTTCGGTCTGCCCTTGTCCATCCTAAGGGGTGAGCAGGATATCCAAGCTGACGAACACAAGCGTTCCCAACATAAGCCTTATGCCTAAACTTGTTATGGCCTGAAATTCCTAGGTAATATTTAATAAAGGTGTAATAATAAGCTCTCTTTTTTTATAAAAGACTAGCTAAAGAGAAAGAGAAAGAAAGGAAAATAAATAAACAGCTATAAATGCATTATAGGCCTAAGGCCTATAGTATTATAAGGTAGTCCTAAGTTATTAAGTAAGGACTACTTAATATATCCTTTTTAAAACTAATATATTATAATACTATTATAATATACTAAGAAATTAATAATATCTTATTAATTATAAAATATAAATTATTTTACTATATATAAAAAATATAAAATAAATTTAAAAAATAGCTACTATTTTTTTAATTAAAAAGAAATAATATTAATAAAAATAGTAAATTAAGTTAAGGTTTTCTAGTTATTAAAGTCTAGAAGTTACTTTTACTTATTAAAGTATAAGGCTTTTTTAATTTATAAAAATAAATTATTAAAGTAGTAATAAATAAAAATAAGTTATTAAAATAAAAATAAAGTTATAACTATAGCTAATATAATAATAAAAGCTTACTATTTTTAAAGTCTTAAGTAGCTTTTAATTTATTAAATAAAATACCTTTTTTATAAAAGATATATTAATACTATTAATATAATAGTTAAGGTTTAATAAAATGCTTATATTTTAAAGTGTTAAAAGTATAAAAAATAAATTTATTTTAATTAGTAAATAAAATGCCTTTTATAATAAAGGTCTTTTTAATAATTATAATTTAAGAAAAATAAAAAGGCTTATATTACTTTTTATTATAAATCTAGTATTTTTAAACTATTTTAAATATAAACTTATTATAATTTAAATCCTTATTAATATAAAAAAAGGAAATAAAATATAAAAAATAAAATATAGCTAAAGTAATAAAGTTAATATACTTATTATAATTACCTTTATTATTAAATAAATATATAAACTTAAAATAAATCTTTATTATTAAATAGTATTAACTATTTTTAAAAGCTTTATAAATTTAATATACTTAATTTTTATAAATAGCTTTATTAAACTATTTATAGTTATCTTTTATATATTAATTTACTATATTTTAAAGTTTTTTTATTTTACTTTATTAATAATTTATTTAAAATAAATATTTATATACTTTATTTATATTATATTATATTAATTAAAAATAGTAATTTTAATATTTTAAAAATTAATATATAAAATTATAAGCTTTTAGTTTTTAATACTTAAATTATTAAAAATCTTTTTAATTTAAATAGTTAATATTTTAGCTAAAGTAAGGTTTATAAATTTAGCTTTAATTAAACTTATAGTAATAATAGTTTATTTCTTACTTTTTTAATAAATTAATTTATTTTTAATTAATATAATATAGTCTACTATACTAAATCTTTTAGCTAAGTTATTAATAAATACTATATTAATATAAACCCTTAAATTAAAGTCTTTAATATTATATTTACTATTAAGTTAAATACCTAGGTTAATTATGCCTTAAAGGTATTAAAATAAATACTTTAAGATTTTCTTATAATATTTTATTAAATTAGTATTAGCTTTATAAAGCTTTTAAATAATATATATAATATTAAGCCTTATACTTATTAAAATAAAGTTTAAACTTTTTATTTATTTTAGCTATTCTTTTATTAATATAATAACTTTTTATTATTTTTAATTATAAAGAATTATTTTCTTAAGTAGCTATAAGGTTTTAGCTAAATTTTAAAATATTAAAATAAACTTAATAATAACTTTCTTAATATAAATGCCTTAATTAAGTATAATTATTTTATTTTTTTAATTTTTATAAACTTCTAGTTTTAAAAAAATAGCTATATTTTTTAGCTTTTTAATTTTAAATAAGCTTTTTAGCTATATTATTATATTATAAATAATTAATATTTTTAAGGCTATAACTATTATATTATTTATATATAAAATTAAAATAGTATTATTTTTATATTTAAAAATATAAAGCTTAAATTTAAAAGGTTTAAATTTAATTATAGCTAGTAGCTATATAGCTTTTTTAAATTATTATAAAAAAGCTTTTAAATAATTATAAAAAGCTTTTTTTAAATAATAGACTTTTTTAAATTTATTATTAAAGCCTAGTAGTTATTATATATAAACTTCCTTTTTAATATTTATATTAAAAAATACAGTAATAGTATTAAATTACTATTACTTAAAATTATTAATTACTATAATTAAATAAAATACTTTAATTAATATAAAATAAGCTACTATAATATAAAGTTCCTTTATTAAATAGTCTATCCCTTAAAGCTAATCTCCTTAAATAACTAAGTATACTTTTATTATAAAATTACTATTAGTAAAATACTTTAAATTATATATTTATTTATTATAAAGAATTATAGCATTCTTTAATAAATAACTAGGCGGTCGAGCCATCCTTTTAA